ACTGTCTTTAGCCATTAATTTCGGCCTAAAATAATGATTTCATTTGTGTATGAAGTAGTTGGATTCTTAATGCAGTTGGAACAAAAAATTTAACGTGAGACTTGAAATGGGTGGCCTGACAATCAGCCATATGTACTGTATCAGTTCACATGATGGGAAAGAAATGGCCCTGGACCATACAATTACAACAGCCCCACTGCACAAGTCAGTAGCCATACTGTGACAGTCCTTTGAACGCAGAGCCCCAAAAGGTGTAGCTTAGTGCCTTCTCCCTGGCTCTTTGCCTCCAGATATTCCACAGTTCTCTTTGAGACACGTGGAGCCATGGAGCAGAAAAGAGACCGTGAGACTACATTGTACTAGGCCCAGATCTACCTCAAGGGCAGAGAAGCATCTAGCACTACACATGAGAGGAGACACATCTTGTCTTCACACAGCAAACAGTCCAGTAGTTCATATGGTAGAGTTAAACAGTAATCACTCCAGTACACACACTTGAGTTATTACAAAGAATTTGGATTTCCATCATGTAATGAGGATAGATACAGAGGGGAAACAGAAAACTTCAAAAAGGTGTTTCAGTAACCTGTAGAATTACAGAAAAAAACTAGAAATTCATTATTGTTTCATATAAACTAGATGGTATTTACTTTGAACTTTGAATTCCTCAAAAACTCTTTCAAAGAAAAAAGAGATTACCTTTTGTCATTAGATGTGTTAATGCCCTTAAATAAGTTCAACCTCCTGCCTCCCTTCTCCCTGTTTCCTTCAAAAAAGCACAGGACAATAACAGTTTCAAAACTAATTCTCAGTCTGCACAGATAACCATACTTTTCCTGGCTTCAATCACTGCTGTGGTATTTGCTTGACTAGAGCAGCAGAGGAACATATGTGGTCACAAAGGCATAGAAAAATCTCCTTCTCTCTGTGAAAATAATTGTACATTCTATGGTACAATAGAATCCAACATGAAAGATGGATGGTATTTCTTAAATACAATTCAAAATCAGGAAGTTTCAATGGAAGGTTTTATCAGACATTCCATAAAACCCCCAGTGTGGGAATAGGGTAATTATTGTCATTTCATTGCTCTCTAACTATCTACAATTATCTTTTTATACTAGTAATCAGCTTGGTACCATTTGATCTCCTTTGCTTTTTTTCCATCTAATTACAAAGTAGCAGTAGATGTTTGCATCACAAAGACTGGTTTGAGTACCCGTGGCAGACTCCTTCAATTTTCAAATGTCTGCATTTTCCCAAAGATGTAAGACTGAAAGCTAAACACATATTTAAAGGCTGTGTTTTATGCAGCAATAGTAGTCATGTACTTAAAAGCCAATTTTATGCAGAAAGATTCATGACATTTTTCACTAGCAGTGTGCAATACAAATTAATATGAACAGGATGATAGAATCATATATCATCCCTCCATTTTGATTAATAAATTATTGGGTCTGAGACAAGAAACTTGTGCTCTTTTTCTAATGTGCACCAGACAAATATAAAACTTTTCAACAAAGCCTTTTTGAAAAGTTAGATGTTGACAAGCATTTCAGAACAGTAGTTCTACTTTCTTACCCTGTTTCAATAACCAAAAAAAAAAAAAAAAAGGAGAACTGGTTTTCAGTAGTTAGAAGGGTTGGTAGAGCTCATTTGGATTTGGTGATTAAAGCTGGTCTTTGGAGGAGTTCTTCCCTCACTCTTAGCTATACAGCCTCTTAAAACACCAGATGTGTGTAGAGGAAGTCCTGTGATCACACATCTTGCCATACTTCATGACTACAAATGCTACTGTGCTTCCTGTACAGGAAAAACTCTACTCCCCTTTGTCCAGGAATACTTTGTTTTATTACAAAATCCTCCCTCAGGTATGACCTTGAAGAAAAGCTGGCTGTGGCAAGGGAAAATAAACTATGCCTTGCTTTGGTTATAGCCATTAGTCACCAATATGTGATTGCAGCTGGATAGCAGGTTCAGTTTAGCACTCAAAAACAGGAACAGTGTGGGGACAAGCTCTGAGGCCAGTGCTCTTGTACACCTTACAAAATGCAGTTCTTTTTCACCCCAAATTTAACCCAAATTGCAACCAAAGACCCCATCATCAACAGATGAAACCAAAACATTAAGAAAATATGTATCTCTGAAACCACACACTTCTTACTTAGTAAAATCCATCAGCAAATGCAACCCTTCCATTATGCTTTTCTGGAAACTAACCTCAACCAATCTCATGATGAAATTTATTTTTAGGTCTTAATGAAACACAATGATTGCAGGCTGGAGTTTTTGCTCACTAAATCATGCAGATTTTACTGGATGCTACAGGGAAAACCAGCCCTCCCTTGCCACATTCTCTAACTTCTAACTTCAAAAAAATGTTGAAGTAGGTTTTTACTATGGAAAAAGGCTTACTTGAGGAGAATATAAATGCCTCTAAGAGAGGTGAAATTTTGTGATATTTTCCTTACTTGTTAAACTATGTTTCACAGAGGCAAAAGATTTTAGAACAAGATACATATATTGCTGTAAACATGTATAAAGGGCAAATTATAAGTTACAGTTTCGTGCATGACTCGATATTTTATGCCTAGGCTGTCTTTCTCATGTTATCAGGCAAACTGTTGGTGCAGTATAAGGTACAATCACATATTATGGAACTTGACCTGGACTAGCATACCTGATGGTATGCTGTAGCTAGAGTTCAGTAAATTATTTTGAAATAATATTGCAGCATTTTTTATGTCACAGCTTGCATTACAGAAAGATCGATTAGGATGCTATCAGGATAAAAGAAAGTTAGCAGATGGAAAGACTCTCTACTCCTTGATGCCCGATAGCAAAATCTTTAAAACCTGGTGTTGGATTTCAGGCTATTCCATCCCTGAAACGGCAGCCAGGAGAACCATCCTCACTGTGACCGCGCCAGCAGCTTTGCCCCAGGGTGGGTGTGCGTCACAGGGTTGACCGTTATTAACTCCCGAATACATCCCGCTCGTTTGCCTGCGCAAGGTCTTATGGAAAGCTTGCACTGGAGAGAAATGCTGGAAACGACGAGTTCAGAGCTCCTTTTGCGACATTATTGCACGAATTACTTAAAACTGCCCCTCGGGGAGGTATTCTAGCTTGACTATTAGCACAGGTGGACGCGTTTATGGACGAAGGAGTTCCACTAAGGAATTATTCTTTTAATTTTTTTTTTTTTTTAAATCTTCATTCTGCACAGGAACGCCCGCCAGCAGCTGCTCCCCGACACGGAGAGCCTCAGGCTCCCCTACCTTAAACAAGCCAAAGGTTTTAAGTTGGCACTGTCCCCTTCCCGACACCCCACGGCCATCACGCCGGGCGGGGCGGGGCGCGCAGGGAGCGTGGGGGCCGCGGGACCCGAAACGGTACCAACCGGGACCCGAACCCGCGACCTACCGAGAGCCGAGCCCGGCACCGCCCGCTCCGCGCCCGCCGGCACCGCCCCCCGGGACCGCCCCGCCCCGCGCCGCGAGCCCCCACCAGCGCCACCGCCAATCAGAGAGCGGCAAGAGCCGCCCGCGGACGGGCACTGGGGGAGGGGCCGGCAACGCCCCGCGCCCGATCGGGCGGTCCGATTGGCCGGTTCGCCGCCTGAACCGGCCAATGAGGGAATGCGGTGCCGGGGCCCGCCGAGCCCATGGGCGTGAGGATTCCTGTTCCGCTCGGGCGGTTTGAACGGCCGTGAGGGCGGCGGCGCGGCCGCGGCTGAGCGGGAGGGGGCCGGGCCGGGCCGGGGCCGCAGCTGAGCGGGAGGGGGCCAGGACGGGGCCGCAGGTGAGCGGGAGGGGGCCGGGCCGGTCCGGGGCCGCAGGTGAGCGGGAGGGGGCCGGGCCGGTCCGGGCCGGGGCCGCAGCTGAGCAGGAGGGGGCCGGGCCGGGGCCGCAGGTGAGCGGGGAGAGGGGCCGGGCCGGGGCCACCCTGCCTTCTGCACGGCACCCACGTCCCTGCACAGCGGGGCCGGGGGCGGCACTGCCACCGCACCTTCCTGCTTCACTGCACCGGTATTGCCGCCCGGCGGCTTTACCCGCCGCCCGCGCCCCAGCCCGAGCTTCCCGAGGGGGCCAGCGGGTCCCCCCTGCCCCCGGGTGGTTGGGCTGGTGGCCTTAGAGGCCCTGTAAAAGCAAAGCAAAGAGGGGGAACATCTCCTGCTCGCAGTCCGATCGTGGTCCCCGCTGCTGGAGCGCCATGTCCCTGTTGTCCCGGCTGCCATGGCAGCGGCGGTCGCGGCACTGCAGGCGGCTGCAGAGGGGCTCCAGGAAGAAGTTAAAAGCGTGAGCAGCACTGCTTTGGAGGGGAGTGCAGCTAAAGAAAGGGAAGGGTATGTTCTGCCTCTACCGGCAAGTGGTATAGTTCTGTCCCTAGTGGTGTCCCCAAGGTTCAATATTGGACCCAGGGTTGTTTAACTTGTTCACCCGTGACTTGGATGAAGGGGCCTCCTCAGCAAGTTCACTGATGACACAAAGCTGGGAGTGGCCAATACCCCAGAGGGCTGTGCTGCCCTTCGAAGGACCTCGACAGGTTGGAGGGATGGGCAGAGAAGAACTGTCTGAAATTCAAAAAGGATAAGGGCAGGTCCTGCATCTGGGGAGGAATAACCCCCTGCACCAGCACAGGGTAGGAGCCAACCTGCTGGAAAGCAGCTCTGTGGAGAAGGATGTGGGGGTCCTAGTGGACAGCAAGCTGCCCATGAGCCAGCAGTGAGGCCTTATGGCCAGAAAGGCCAGTGGTATCCTGGGGTGCATTAGGAAGAGCAGTGCCAGCAGGTCGAGGGAGCTGATTCTGCCCCTCTACTGAGCCCTGGTGAGGCCTCACCTAGAGTGCAGTGTCCAGTTCTGGACTCCTCAGGACATAAGAGACATAGAATTCCTGGAGTAGGTCCAGCAGAGGGTTACAAAGATGATGAGGGGAATTGGAGCATCTCTCTTGTGAGGAAAGGCTGAGGGAACTGGGCCTGTTCAGCCTGGAGAAGAGACGATTGAGAGGAGACCTCATCAATGTCTATAAGCATCTGAAGGGAAGGTGCCAAGAGGATGGATCCAGGCTCTTCTTGGTGGTGCTGAGCAATAGGACAAGAAGCAATGGGGAGAAACTGATGCACAGGAAGTTTCATCTGAATATGAGGAAGAACTTTTTTACTGTGCAGGTGACCACACACTGGAACAGATGCCCAGAGTGGCTTTGGAGTTTCCCTCACTGGGGATATTCCAGAACCATCTGGATGCAATTCTGTGCCATGTTCTCTAGGATGATCCTGCTTGAGCAGGGAGCTTGGACCAGGTGCCCTACTGTGGTCCCTTCCAACCTTACACATCCTGTGATTCTCTTTCCTAGGTGTTGAGTCCTCTGATCTGCATGAAACATTAAATTATTTGGAAGCATCACCTTTAGTTAAAAACAAAGCCAGATTTGCAGAAACCTGAGCACAGCTTAATTAGTTCAAAATTGAGAAGGAGAGCAACCATGGTGAGTCAGACCAAAATCTTTATAGTTGCATCCAGTTTCTTAAAAGTAGCAGTCTTAGCATTGGAGTTGTATGCATATGGAAGGAGCTACTGCTGTTAGCAGGAATCTTTCTTTAATGGAGTTGGAAGTATGTTTTGACAGATGCTCGGGTAAGATTAGAAGAACATGGTAAGTGTGAGGATGTTCCTCTTACTTGTGTCTCACAATATAATATTTGCAGCTTAGCAAATCAGCTTTTTGACCCAGAGATGGTGTCTTAGTATCCCTCGATTTCTCTTCTAGAAACTTGTCTGGTATTTTGTGGGATTTAGTGCTTACTCACTGAGATTAAAGCAGACAAGTAATTCTTAGGCCAGCATGCTGAGCAGGGATCTTCTTCTGGAGCTATGGCAAAAAAAGAAAGTGAAAGCAAAGTCAGGTAATGTGAGAGAAATACAGAGATGCCGCTCTCCACTGTACAGAGAGAATTCATATGGCCAGAGCTCAATTAAAGGTGAAGCTTGCCTGTACTCTGGGGGGCAAAAAACCCCAGTTTTTTAAAAGGCATCAGTAGTAAAAAGCAGTCCAGAAATAACGTAAGCCTGTTACAGGATGAGGATCATCACCTCACAAACAAGGCTATAGACAAGGCAGAGATGTTTAATGATTTCTTTGCTTCAGTGTTCAACACTGATGCAGTCATTAGTCACAGCCAGCATGAGAGGAAGGTCCTGCTGGGCAAACATAATTCCCTTTTATGATAAGGTAACCCACATGTTTGATCAAGGGAAGCCAGTTGATGTAGTCTTTTTTTTATTTCAGTAAAGCTTTTGATACTGCCTCTCACACTATCCTTCTGGACAAAATGTCAAGCACACAGCTGGATAAACATGTTGTGTGATGGGTCAGCAGCTGATGACCTGTCACTGGTGGGGTTCCACAGGCTCCATTTTAGGCCTTGTGCTCTTCAACATCTTCATAAATGACTTGGAGACAGCACTAGAAGGGATACTAAGCAAGTGTATTGACAGTACCAAACTGGGTGGAGCTGCTGATTTTTTTCAAAGACAGAGAGGCCAACTGAGACAGAGCAACCCTGGATGTACGGACAGACTTTGAAATGAGAGGCTGGAGAGCAGCCCCACAGAAAGGGACCTGGGGGTCCTGGTCAAAGGCAAGTTGAATCTGAGTCAGCAGTGCCCTGGCAGCCAGGAGGGCCAACCATGTCCTGGGGACATCAGGCAAAGCATCACCAGCTGGTCGAGGGAGGGAATTGTCCCGCTCTGCTCTGCACTGGGGCAGCCTCACCTTGAATATTGTGGCAGTTTTGGCCACTTCAACATAAGAAAGATATTAACCCATTATGGAGCATCCAAAGGAGGGCAACAAAGATGGGAAAGCATATGAAGAGTGGCTGAGGTCACTTGGGGTGTTCAGCCTGGAGAAGAGGAGACTGAGGGGAGACCTCATGGCAGTCTACACCTTCCTTGTGAGAGCAAGAAGAGGGACAGGCAATGATCAGTGACAGGAACCAAGGGAATGGCATGAATCTGTGTCAAGGGAGGTTTAGGTTTGATATCAGGGACAAGTTCATCGCCCATAGGGTGGTTGGTCACTGGAACAGGCTCCCCAAGCCTGACAGAGTTCAAGAAGTGTTTCGACAATGTTCTAGGCACATGGTATGATTCTGGGTGCAGAGCCAGGATGTGGACTTGATCCCTGTGGGTCCTTTCCAGCTCAGAATATGCTATGATTGTAGCATGACGTAGCAATGATGTGTCTATAAACACAGGGTTAAAATAATTGTGTCTCTCTTAATTTATCCTAGCAATGCAACCTGTTGTTTTGTCTGGAATATTAGGTTCACTAGGATTTTCACTGAAATACTGCACTAATCAAAATGTACATTAACATTAACAGCAAACCAGGCAAAACCTAGAAATGTGAGGAAAACTCAAACTCTAAGCATTAAACTGTTAGTGGAATCTAAAGCTGCATTCTACTCAGCCAAGGCAGTCAGGTGGAGACCAGCTGCACAAACATAGTGGGGGGCTAGTTTGTGGTTATAAAGAAGAGAGATGGGAAGAGGAGGCAAACATACTGAGCTTGAGGTGACAGCAAATGACTTTTTAGATAAGGCAATGTCAAACAGATAAGTTTCAGTTAACAGATTTGAGGGGAAGGGTGGTCTGGAGGGGAGAGGTAACATTGCTTACGATGAAGGCAGGAACCTTTTGAGTTTTAGAAGATCATGGAGTAGTTTCAGTGATAGGTAGAGAACCAGATCCACTAGATTGTGTGTCAGGGACATGATCTTAGAAAACTGAAAACAAAAATCAGGAGAATGGTCTGATGTTGTTGAACAAAGTTTTCAGAAAAATACTTTCTCTTCCACTTCTTTGGACTTGTCTGTGTTCACATGGAACTCTGTTTCACCTCCTGTGTCTCAGAAAAATCAACAGTTCAGTTCTTTTAAAGTGGACTGAGAAGGGAAGGTATCAGTATTTATAATTTCTAACTGCAAATACACATCTAATTCCTGTAAGTGCTAGATAGTTGGTCCTTTGTGATCCTCCCTAATGCACACACACCCCTCCATATTTGGATGCATCTGCGGCTTTTAGAGTGATTAGGATCCACAATTCGAGAAACTGTCTATGGGAAAGCATGTGAAGTGGCGGCTGATTTTTTAAGATTCCTGAGGAAGTATTTTTTGGTATTGAAAGAATTTATCAGCTAAAGAAAGGAAGCTATTTTATTAGGTAGAGAGGCCAAAACAAAGGTACCGATAAGGTAATTTGTGTATGAGAGAGGAAAGAAGAGCAGGAGGCAATGAAAACAGAAGAGGTGAGGAGGGTAGTATTTCTTCTCATCTACAAACCATTATACAGCAATAAAAAATATATAGTAAACCTTCCCTAGACTTCCTATTTTGTACTTAAAATACATGGTTGGTATTCTAGGGCTCAGCAGGAAGGGGGAGATTATAATGTCTTTTGAACTTTTGGCAGTAGGAAATCAGCATTTGAAATTGTCTTTATATAATTTTTAAAATGTCTATCATCAGCACAGAAATAAGCTTGCCATTCTGAAAAGTTTAGATATCCGTGGCAGAGAGAGCTTTTGTGGTGCAGAAAGAATCAGTATCTAGAATAGTTCAAAGAGCAAAAAGGTAATTAATTGCCATCTGTATTCCTATAGACAGAGCTGTAATGTTAATGTGGGGAGTTTGATATTTTGAGAAAAGATGATAATGCTGAAGTGAGATATTCCTGTCAATTTAATGACAGTATAACTAGGAATTTAAAAATTATGTTTCTGTCAGAAAACACATCTGTTTAAAAAACAACTAAGAATATTATAATTGACAGCAGTAAAGGTCTCTCTTAAAATAAATTTTCCTTCCAAGTTGTTTGCTACATTACATGAGCTTTGAGTTCTTGTGGTTATTTATAGTGGTGTCCTTACTCTCTTCTGACAATTCCGTGTTCAATGCGTCTGATTGTCTTCCATGTGCATCAGGCAACTTGATCACTTTGTTATTTATTCATTAATAAATTCACCTTTCTTCATACTCCATTTGCACTCATTTTCCAATTTCTTTTATCTTCTTCCCCATATACTTTAGAGTCCTTTTTCCCTTTATTCTATTGAGTCTTATCACAAGAGCTTCAGTTCTTCACTCAAGGACCTGTTCATGGCTGTAATAGATGAAAAGATACATACATCTTTCACAAAAGTCTTCAAGTTTTCTTATCAGTTCTACAACATTGCCTGCTTTCCACATGTTCAAAGAGAGCTTCACTGTCCTGCTTAGAAATTGCTGGAGTGATTACTTGAACCTAAGGCATTACTTGTCCTTCTATATCTGTTCTTCCTGGGCCCATAAGGCAAGAAGGATCAAAAAAGTGGCAGCAGGCTGATGTTGACCATTCAGCTTCAGGGTATTGAGCAGAGCATTTAGGGCATCATCTGATCTTGGGCTGTGGTTGAGGTTGTTCAGTGGATAGGAGAGTGTAGCTTAGGCATTCCTGTGTTGTAGGAATTTTGTACTGGAAGAAGCTGATAAGTTTGAAAACAATACAGTGTGAATTAGAATGAGGGATTGACACAGAAGTGTATCTGTAATTGTAACAACTGATATTGTTGCTTTAGAGTCTTTCCTTTTTTGTTTTACTTATAAGTCAGTGGAAGTATTTCCATGATTTTGAGTATGGTCTGGATCAGGCAGTTTCCTACCTAGCATTGTGTAATGAGACTAGGCAAGCAGTTTAGCCCACAGAGTGGGTATTGATGCAGTTTCTACAGCAGAATCTCCATTTCTGTGGAAAATGTTGGTGAATATATGTTTTCATACTGAAATATGAAGTTCAGCTTCTACTGTTTTATAGACTAACTTTGTGCAGAATGTCATCAGATGAGGAGAAAAGCACAAGCCCAGTTTTACCAAAAGACTCTGTTCCGGACAGTTCTCTTTCTTCAGATCTTCAGGTAGGAAAGAGGCAATATTATTTGATTCACTGTCATGGCATTTTATTTGACAAAGGATAATTATGAGGAAATCTAACTAAACATGCATCTTTATGTTTTACCTATACAGGAAAATAATTAAAACATTAGGGAAAATAAACAAATTAGACCCCCCCAAAAATGTGATGCTAAAATATCTTCGGTTGGTTCCCCTTTTTTTGCATTTCACAAGAAATTTATTTTATGCGAAAAATCTTATTTAAATTTAAGAGGTTGGTAGCTGCAAGTAAAACAGGACAGTTTTCTTATTTTTTTTTTTTTGGTGTTATTTTATATTTGTTCTTAAGTGTTTTGAAGAAACCAGAATCTGACACAGTAGGATAGAAAGCTGTTATTTTTGAGGGATGAAGCAAAAGTTTAATTTAGGCTTTTCTCAAGAGGATGCAAAGATACTGGATAAAGCCTTTGTCCTATTCTTTTGAAAGCAGCAGATTTTCATCCTATAATAATTGGTTATTCCTATTTAAGTTATGAATGATATTTTTTCAACCTTTGGTAGAATTCAATCCTAAACAGGATAGTTTTGACAAAAACAGGGTTTGCTATTTGCCCTGTAGAAGTACATCTCTACATTTGTCACTTGGTGGAATGAGCATGTACAGCAAAAACATTGTTAAATTAAGCTGGTTTTTTCTTTCTTTTTTTTCCATGTGGATTGACTTGTAGTTTTTAAAATACCTGTTTAAAGGCAATTCATTTGTGCAATTCTTATACTTCTCTATTTGTGGTCATGTCTCATGGATAAGTTTTCTTAATCTTTGTTTAGCAGTAGTAATACATCTGCATTTGCAATGCTTTTTGTGGTAAGAAAATGAGATAAAAGCGTAGTGCTACAAATTTTAAAGGACTGGAATTTTCTGTTATGATCTGGTTGATCATAAGGAGGTGCTAAGGCCACCTTGTAGAGAATGATAAACTAATATTAATGAATGACTATTTTGCTAATGAGAACATGTCTAACACAGAATAGAATATTTCCAGTTGGAAGTGACCTACAATAATCCTTAGCCCAACTGCCTAAGCATTTTGTGGCTGACCAAAAGCTAAAGCATGTTACTAAGGGTATTGTCCAAATGCCCCTTGAACAGTGACAGGCTCAGAGCATTGACCACCTCTCTAGGAAGCCTGTTCCAGTGTTTGACTACCCTCTCAGAGTAAAGAAATGCTTCCTAATGTCCAGTCTGATCATCCCCTGTGCAACTTTGAGCCATTCTCACAGATCCTATCACTGGATACCAGGCAGAAGAGATGGGCATCTCCCTCCCCACTTGTCCTGCTCAGAAAGCTGAAGAGAGCATTGAGATTGCCCCTCAGCCTTCTTTTCTCCAGGTCCACAGTTCTTAGCTGCCTCTTATAGGAGTTTACTACTGTTGAAAAACAATGCTGGCATCACAGCTGATCAATAGGAATTGTGACAGGGAAGATTCTACTCTCTTTAGATAACTTGGAAAGGTCTGTTTTGTTTAGTTTGGTTTGAGTCTTTTTGGTAGTTTTGCTTTTAAATAGAGACAAGATTATTACCTTTTTGCTATAAAAAGAATCCCCTGGTTTTCTAGAATTTCCATTTACTTATAATAGGGTTCCACTGACCTTCAGGCCCTAGAACTATAAATCTCTACTTTTACACAACAACAGATTTTTTTTGGTAGTTGACAAAACAGCTTGAAAGTTTTGTTTAAAGGAGAACCAAGCTAGTAAGTAAACAAAAAAATATATTGTTAATTTTATTATGGTTCTATTGGAAATTTATTGGTCAATATTGCATTCCAGTTGCAGCATCCTTGTTTGGGGTATTTAAGATTGAGGTGATGCACTTAATCGCTCAATGTTTCCATACATATTCTTGCTGCAGTCTCCAGGATTTTTTTTTTTATGTCTAAGTTTCTGGTTACAGTTGGGATACTTTGTTTTCTTTGACATTTGCCTTTTAACTTCATTTTAACAGTGTTGTAATACTGTAACTTATAAACATTTATTTCCAGAGTTGTCACTGGATGGTATCTATTGACACTTTCTGTTGGCATGTAAGAGCGTGTATTCCCAAATGGTGGATTCTTTGGCTTTTAATAAGAGTGTTAGAACTTGAAAGAAAATTCCTGCCATAATTTGATATGTATATTTTGAGTGCTAGGAATGCCTGTAGTAGGACAGATTATGTGCTAATGATTAAATTTGGTGAATCAAAATGAGCCAACAACTTGCACATGACGTTTTATCTACTATGTCCCTTGAACTGGATAAGGTAATCATGGAAGCAGCTGGATCAGCTCTGACAAGTAACTTGTTTAGGGCAATTTGGTCACATGACCTCTTTGGAGAAGACAGAGGAGTGATCTAGTGTCTTCTGCACAATCATTTAATTCAGATTAGCTAAGGTAAAGACTTTTTTATTCTGCATAAATTTTGCTGCAGGGAGTTTTTTATAGATCCGTGTAGTTCCTGGTTGAATAACTAATCTGAAGTTATCTGTTTTCTTCTTTTGACACCTGATAAAATCTAAACTGTATTCATTCAGAAATATATGGCTACAGAAAAATTGCAGCTGAGTATACCTTTTACATAGAATGTGACACTCTTACTTATCAAACAAATACATTATGTATTTGCTTGTTTATATAGCTTTATAGACATTTATTTTGGCTTTTAATTTTAACATCATAGTTTAGAAGATAGGAAACGGACATTTAAATCAAAACTAGAATTCAGCTGAAATGTACAAAACCGAGCTTCTTAAATTCTCTAATTAGTTAAAACCCACAAAAATGTAAGGGTTACACAAAGTTTTAAAGTATTATCCTTTTCAGTTATTAGATTCAAAAACATATTGCACGTAATTGTTACCTTTCATTGATTGTTTTCACTCTGACTTTCCCCAGCTTGAAGAAAAAATTAATTTTTCAATTCACACTTGGTTTCTGAGGTTTGACCTCACAGGGATACTAATCAGAATTAGTATGATAGTACTAAGTAAAGAAAAAATAACTGATAGTGGTCTGGTTTAGTATTTTCCAACTGGCATTGTTTTCCAGATCTTTAATTAGTGGCTTTGATTGGTTTCAGCATGTCGCTGCTACTGGAACTTTTTTAATGAAGTACTGGATTAAGATGTAATATAGTTTACAGTTTTACAATGAGCACTAAATACTTTCATTCTGCAAATCTGTTTAATTAGGAGATTTAAAAGAACTGTTAATTGGCGTACTTTCGTGCATAGTCTAATGCCACATACCAGTTATATTAGCTTATAACTTCTTAATAGGGGGGGTTCTGTAATAATTATATATGCACATTCCCTATACAATTTTAAAAATGCATAATACAAGGTGAGAATAATTATATCTACTCTGAACAAAATACTGGCTAATCAAATTTCTTTCAATAATTGGCTTTACAAGAAATTGTAATGGTACAGAATGTGAAGTGTGATTGTGTTCAGTAGCATCTTTGTCATGGTTATAAAAATACATGTTTTTGCAGCAGTAGGAGTGATTAGAAATAATATGGGGTGATTAATAGCTTATGTGATTTTTTTTCTACTTACTGTTTGTATTTAAAATTCCTATTATAGTATCCAGCTCTGGCATCTGGCAGAGTCTTCTTGTGTAACTATTATGGTGCATCTAATTGTAATCAGAATGGATGCGAATATGAAACAAGAGGAAGTTAGATTGTTACAATCATTGTAGGAAAGCAGTTCATTTGTGCAACTTTAAGTGAGATCCTCTTAATTTTTTACCTCTCAAAAATTATAGTAAATAATTTCCACTCCTTTCATATACCTCAGTTTTAGAAATGTAATTGTAGTTTTATAATTGTTTGCCATTATGTTGCAACAGGATGAATATGAAGAGCCACTTCATTATACTGTAGTGACTCCGAAGTTTGCACAGGATTTGTCAAAGTGGACAGAACCTGCCTCAGAACTTAGACCAGCTGACAGATCTGCAAGGGCAACAAATGATGCCAGTCACAGTAAGACTCCAGGTAGTATGCCCAAACCTATGTGTTCTCATAAGAGAACAATGATACAACCTTTCTGACTTGGGTTTTTCAATAGCTTCAGTTTAAAAAATATATATAGCATATATATAGTACATTCGCACTTTTGCAAGTTTGCTTTTCTGCTTAGCTTTTCACGTTTGCAGTTGTTTTTTCCCCTTCTCCTGTGATGGTATTGAGACCAACAGAGTTTCCAAAGCCATGTGATGTCTTCTGAAATTAAATTTTGGGTTTGCATTATTCTTTGATCTGGCATTTTTACCTTCTCTTCAGGTTTTAAAAACTGAAGTGAATGTTACTATTATGATGGTAGAAGACTAACTACTGGTAATCTCTATTTCAGGAATTTTAGGCATACATGGTATACATAGTATCTTCCCTAAAAGCTTCCAGCCAAATAAGGAAAGTAATTGGAATAAACATGCTGTACTATACAATTCAGTGTCCAAATGCTTTTAAGCTTCGAAACATAAATCTTAATTTCCTGTTCTTGTTACCAGTTTAGTTGATTAAATTTGAAAATTACTAAGACTGGAGCAGCAAATTGTTTGTTGCAGAGATATGTAATGATGACTCATACCCAAACAGTGGAAAAATTCCTTCTATTTGGGCTTCCAGTCCTCAGTATGGATCCATTAAACTTCTGAGAACATTTTAGAAAATTGCTGCACTCAGCTTGGGCCACTAATAGCATGTCATGTGTAAGAACATCTGTCAGAGCTTATTTACTTAATAAAAGCAGAACAAGTCAGATACTAGAGCAACACAGAAAAAAATCCAAAGGTAGTATTTGAATAACAGACATCTGGATAAACAGCTAATTTCATTACCTCTACTGTAACAAGAATACAGTCTAGATATTTGTTGGAGTAAATGCATGTGGGATATCCAAATGGATGGTTCGTGTCCTTGATACCGTAGCACACTGTAGCTGAATGACATCATGCAATGTTGTGGAAGGAATAGTGGTGACAGAAGGAGTGCATTAGAAATAAGAAATAAATTTATATGTGTACAACTAGAAAATTATGGCAATGCTGGAAAGCTAAGATGAGTTGCGTCAAATGATGATATAAACATGTAACAGATACGGTAAATGAGAAAAATGAGTTAGGATAGTCTGTACACAGGGAGGACTAAGAGGAGGAGAGTGATAGACTTGTAATATTATGATCTCAGACTATGCCAGTTGTCAGTCTGTTTTAATATCCTGTTTTTGTTGGTTACATTTTGTTCTATTTTGTTTTGGTTTTTTTCCTTTGGAAGTATCTTGCAGCTTGTGCTGTGTAAGTTGGATATCTTTGCAATCTAACCAAATAGTAAAAGTTTAAAAATCAAAACAAACCTTCATGCACTTCACAACTGAAGGAAGAACACAGTGACATGCAGGAATGGGAACAAGTGGTGAAGGACAGAACTTGGAATATTTAACAATGGTAACATTGTCAGATAATTTATATTGTCAAATGCCAGCCAGATTTTCCATAATAGAAATTAGATGCATTTCTGGCATGTCACTCATTTTGGAGATTCTTACAAGCAGTGAGTGTTCAAATTCTACCATTAACTAAGCAATAGTTCTCTCATTTATATAAGAAAGAAGGACAAAAATCTGAAGTCCAATCTTAGTATACTGTGTGATGGGGAACAATCTGTTTTTGGTCATCTGTTTATTGATATTGGGTAGGACATTTAGTCTATATAAACAATGTCCTAGATGGGACTTCTTCAGCTCAAGCTAATTTTAATTTTATGATGTCTGGTTATGTATTAGCTTGACAGAAGCATCAAAAAACAGTTGTAACTGCCTCTGCATCACGGTTCTTCCTTATTTCCTGCTTGTTTTGGAGCGTGAGTGTAGTAGCTGTGTGGTGAGAAGTTATGAGCCAGACAGCTCTTCTGACTTTCTTTGGACAGGAGACCTGACAACAACAATAACTGCAAAAGAGTATCAACTATCAGGCTCTATCTTGAATAAATTAGAAACATACATTTCCAGTGTCCACTGAAGATACTGCTTTTTGACAAATAGATTAGCTTATCTCTTCAAGCTTGTACCAAAATATCGTATTCATCTGCTAAGAAACCAATCGTACAGACATTTGTTTTCAGAAGCAAAGACTAAGATGTCGGAGGTTTCCTCTCTTAGTTTATGAAGAAAAGGAGAGTATTCTTTTGAAGTTTATTAATGACAGGAAGCTGCTAATCCCTGTTGTTTCCAAATTTTTTTATTCAGTTGTCAACTCAAATAGCAAATTTTCTATCAGGAATAACTAGAGATAAAACAATACTTTATTTCTTTGGTTTACTTGAATATTAAGTTCTTTATTCTTAGCTCAAACACATGCCTATTAGCTTTTGGACATGGATTAACCTTTATTGCAGTGGTAGTTAGCCACAGCACCTGAAAGTGAAGGCTTATTGTTTAAGGCATTATGTAAATTCAGAGTAGGTATTTCTTTTCTCAAATTGTCTGAACTCTAGTTAGACAAACAAATTTAAGGCTTTAAGGAAAATGGATGCAGGTGAATATCAACATGGAAATATAGCCACAGACTGCTTTGTGAATGCTCCAAGTAACACCACCAAGCTCAGGAGTTTACAGTCCCATTAAGGAAAAAGACAAAAGATTTTAGATTTTTGACCTGAGATGTTAATAGTCAAGAAGCCTTTACTTAGAGATGTTGATTCTGGCAATGGTGTATTTTTAGTTCTTGCTGTGATCATCCTTTTTAAAATTAAGTGACATTAAGGTACTCTTTTTTAGGGTAGCAGTACATTTTGCCTATGATTGAAATAGAATTGTGGGGTTTTAAATGTACTTGTGTCTGGGAAGTATGTATTTGAATTGGGCTGTGTCTCATGTGAGGGAAGGAGCTTTCTGATGCCCTAAATATCTTTTTTCTTTGTTGTCAATGCCTGACTTCTGACTTCCATCCAGAATGTGGGCCAGTTAGCCTTTCCAGAGTGTCATCCTTATTCTCTGTTTCATTTTTAGTCTTAACATCAGTGAGGCAGAGTTTTGAGGCCAATATGGAACAAGCTATTCTTTCAGAAGCGATTTCTTCCCAGGGGTCCACACATGGTCCAAGAGAAGTCAGTGAAACCATAATGACTGAATTAACTTTACAAGATGAAAAGCTCAATCAAATAGAAAATATACTTGATCTCTGGACTGGAAGTCTTAAGGTATTTATTTTGTATGGAATTACAGATATCACAGATATAAGTGTGTTGTAGAATAAGTGAGTGCCCAAAAAGTTGCAGTGTGATTGCACTGGCGAATGGTGTTTTTCTTTTTTGTTGATAGTGCATATTGCATATAAAGACTAGAATGTCTTATTTCAAAAACTTTGGAATAACTGTCTTTATTAGGGATATTCAGATATTATTCAGTAGTTTATTGTGTGTGGTAATATTTATAGCAATAAATATCCTGTGTAATGAAGGTATCACTGTAAATGTTCATTTCTCCTAAATTGTTTAGTGTTTTAAGATTAAAATAGGAGGGAATAGTTTAACTAACTGCATTACTGTCATCTTTTTAACTTTTCAGACAAACATTCTGACAGAATTGAGAAATTGGAAACTTAGTTTGATTCAACATCACAAGCTTCAAATGAAACAAGAAAAAGAGAAACATGCTGCACATGTGAAACAATTGTGCAATGAGATGGAAAACCTGAAGGAGTTACTACATACTTATGAAATTTCTATTGCCAGGAAAGATGAGGTAGTAATTCAGTTTCACATTTTAACAGTTCCTCTCTATTTAAAAATATCCACACTGAATTTTTTGGTACATCTGTTTGAACAAAATTTTTTTGAGGCAAAACCACTATATTTAGACTGTATAGTAGAAAACCAATCATTGTTGCTAATAGGGTCATCCACACTAGCAATGAAAACTCAACACTTTGTGTGTACATACTTTTCATTGTTTGCTTCTTAAACCTAGGGTCTACTCTTGTTCCTTCTTTATTTCATGAAAATCACACAGGCTTGGATGACTCTATTAGCTCTTACACTTCAAAAGCCTCTAGTTTTTCAATTATTAGATTGGTTTTCTTGAATTTCAAATGCGTAGCAGTCCCTGAAGTGTTAAAGAATCTCTGTTTTAGGATTCTTAGGAATTCTACATTTGTACATGTTCTTAAGATTGTACATTTGGGATCTGTGATTTACACTTTCCTGCTGTCAACAATGTAAACAACTTCAATATTAACTAGTTTTGTGGAAATGAATATGAAATCTTGGCAGTCTTGCAATCACATTACATAATTAAATCTTCTTATTGCTACCATGAATTTCTAACCTCGTTCTTGGGAACACTTAATGAAGTTTGAGTTTTTAATTCCTATTCACCTTTTTTAAAAAAAACCATACATTGCAGGAATTAAAATATGGATGAAGATCATGTTCTGTGTCCATTTGGAAAACAGTCTAATCTTACAGACCAAGCAAATATAAATGTTGTAACAATACAAGAACATTGTAATACAGTTTAACTAGTGCATCTGTGCATGCTTATTTCAGCATATAGCATTCAAACTTCTAATTCTGTTGGTTATCATTGTATGTCACTCATATTTAATGTGCCATAATTCCCAAGGATACTTTGAAAGCTGTATCTCTTTTCTGTTACCAAAGACATTTTTCTTTGGCCATTTTTATAGTTCTGTTTCTAAAAAAAATGGTATGAATAGAAAATTACTATTGCTACCACCTGAATAGAAGGTGGAAGTGCTTCCATGCTTCTGTGTATCACACCATGACTATCAAAACTGCTGTATTAGGACATGGACTTAACCCAAAATCATAAGCCTCACAAATTATGAGTACTGTAGATTCATGTTTTCACATTGTAAATCTCACAAATGCTTTTATTGGCAAAAACGTACTAATTAATGAAAATGGATTTAGGGTAAGACTTCTAGTGTGTATCAGGATGTGTGCAGCATCGAAAGTCGATGTTTTATTAGTATATGACACTTTTTCAACAAAATTAATTAATTGCATATATTCATTTAATTTGCTTTCTATTTTCTCATTGATTTGTTGACAATTTATGCAAGTGTACTTCTAATTTTAGATAATTTCATTGTTAATTAGGTAGCTGTTCAGGTATTCTGAAACGGAGAAGTTAGCTGTATTTAAGCAGAGAAAAGTAGCTTATACAGGGTTAACATACAGTATGATAAAGATCTCATTCTTAAAATTTATCTTTAAATTATTTAAGATGTATCAATTTGACTTTTATTTGTTTTTATATTGACATTTTGAACACCTTAAAGAAACGAAGTTTTTTCTTGGCAGTATTTCATGAAACATTCTGAAGATGGATTGAAACAGTTTGTATGAATTTCTGTCCTGAAACAAAATAGTTCTTAGCAACTACTTAGCTAGTTTATTTTGGTCATACAGTTGAATGAGCATTCTGCAAATAAGTTGTTTCTTTACACTTCAGTTAAGTAATCACTGAAATGAACTTCTAATATAAATGTTTCTGATTTGTCAAAATTGTCTTTGAAATAAAACATGCTTCTGACATTATGCTACAGTAACGTTTAATTATTAGGAAGTAGCTCAGAAACCTGCAGATGTAGAAGGAAATAACAATTCAATTGAACTTTTCTTAAAATTACACAGTGGAAGTGCTACAGTCTGAGTATTGAAGCCATTGGAATTTCACTACTGATTTTTGTTTCCTACTTCATTAGAGTAAGGGGAAGATTCATAGAAAGCATCTGTTACAAGCAAGTGCTTTAAGTGAAAAATAACTGAGGCATAAAGTACATTCTATTTGACCTTACGGAGATCATAGCTGTGTTGAAATAGTGTTAACAAATATTTTTTCAGGTAATTACTAACTTGACCCAAGCAATAGAAAAGGAAAAGGAGAGAGTAGAGTTGATGAGAAAGTTTGCGCTGTGGCGGATTCAGCATGTTAAAGCAAGTCAAGAGGTATGTGCACAAAATAAAAATGCAACACAAAAGGGTCAGAGCTGCTGCAGTTCCTGTTACAGTTTGAAAAAATAATGGTATTTCTATTGTGATGTATTTAACAATGTCAAATAACAGTTTAAACCCACCAATTTTAAAAAGAAACGGCTGTCAGAATACTCTCTCGAATGGGAAAAAAAATCAAGCCATTTTCTGATGACTACTTTGAAACAGAGTAGAATAATAGAATTGTTTTAAAGGAATTTTTAAACTATCCTGAAATCTAAATTAATTTAAAAGATATGTGTTTCATGCTAGTCATCTGCAATCTTGGAGACTTTTTTGATTTTTATATGATTTCTGTGGTAAATCCAAATGTGCCACATACCCACTAAATAGCTTCACACATGCGTGTTTGCGCCATATATATTAGGTTATTGCTTGAGTGTCATTAAACAAGAGTAAAACCACTGTTTTTTGTAACTTAGGGGTTAACAAATACAGTTTCTTATACTGGGGACAGTAATGCTCCATGACATGTGCAGGAAGAAGAACATGGAACTTGCTGATGCTGTTTGAATACCACTTTGCTGCAGGACCTGTTATTCAGCTGAGGTGTTTCTACTGTGGTCTATGTAAATAAACTAATAATAAATTGTAAAACAATCATCCACACGTAAATACTTATATTTTTAGCAAACCTCAACTTCCACACAATGTGGTTTTTTTTGTTTCCTAAGGAATACGCAAATAGAATAGCAGACAAACAATTCCAGACAACTTTGATGAAGAAAGTGTGGGCAGCGTGGCGCTCTCTTAGTGAAGAAAAGTGGAAAGATAAAGTAGCAAGAGCCTGTCAGTTGAGGGCAGAAGATGTCTGTGTTCAACTCACCAATGATTATGAAGCCAAAATTGCAGAGGTGAATTCAGTTTTTTTTTCATTCTTTTGCTCCTTTGCTCCCAATTCCCATCCCTCCAAAGTATCTCTTTCTCAGCAAACTTGACAAACATGAGGATTTTCTAGCAGAACAGACCTCCCAGCTATACAAGAACATCTGAGTGGTTATAAGATCTGTTATGTTTTTAGATGTGACTTTTCCCCTGCATCTGCTATAAAATGTTGCTGATCTGCATGCACAGATGAAGTAAATTGGATTTTCCTGAAATGAGACGAATCTGTTTGCCCACCAATAGGAATGCCATTTGTTTTCTAACAGCATCCTGGTAATATTGGCTATGCATTATGAGGTTTTAATAAAGAAGAGCATTATTATTCTGAATGATCTTGATGAGTGTACAGTATTTTTGCTATAATAGCTATTCTGCTAAAGGATGAAATTGGACTTCAATGTGCCAATTAAGTTTGTTAAAGAATTTTCAGAGCTTAAGGTCAAGTTGTCAAACTGTGCATGGTAAGTAAACAGTTTTAAAATATGAGTTTTAAGAGCATTGTATTTCAACAAGAAATTAAACCTAGAACTTTAGAAATAGGCTTACCAAATGTGACTTACCAGCACAAAAGTAAGTAGTGAATTACAAAAGGAACTTGGTTTGTTCTCCTCTCAGCATTTTTAGTTTTTTACAGTATCTAAAGAAGAGAGATTGGTGATGACAGTTCACCCAATGCTTAAATAATTGTCTGAGAACACTTACTCTTCTGTTGAGTGAATCCATGTTCCTGCAGAACTCTGTTATGCCAGATGCCTAACTTGTAGAAGACAAAAGCTTGCAAGATACATTTATGCTTAGTTGGTTAGGTAGGGTCTGACAGTCCTCTTGTCCTTGATATGCTCTAGCACTAATATTGTGCTATAGTACAAAGAAATTACAAGTAGCTGTTCATCTCTGGTGAACCAGAGATTTTGAAGTTCAAGTATGTATCTTTGTAAATATAGTAAGTGACTTTTAAAGCAAATTGATTATTATGTTTGTAGTTTGCATTCAGAAGTCCAAGAGAAGTGTTTCCTTACTGTTTTGTAGCTGACTGCTAATTTGGAACGGACAAAAGCTGAGATTCTGCGACTGCACAGTGAAAGGGATCAGTATGAAGACACCATGAAGAAAGCCTTTATGCGTGGTGTATGTGCTTTGAATCTGGAAGCAATGACCATGTTTCAGGGCAAGGACAGTAGACCAGATCCTGGTTAGTATGAACAGCAGCTCTAATCTGGTAGTGCATGTGCATTTTCATTGTGTTTGTTTGGGATTTTTTGTTTGTTTTTACAGAGTTCATTTTTGCTTTTTGTTTTAATTTGGTAACTTGTAGCAACACAAAGTTTATTAAATTTCTATTGCTTTAGAAAGTCCTGTTGAATATATTCAGAAATCCTGATGCTGAACTTTGTACTGCTATAGCTGAAAGGAAGAACGTGTTCTCTTCATCCCACATTGCTGGGAGAGTGATAATCTGCAGCTGAAGGCAGAACAAGAAGCCAAGGGTGGGAAACTTCTTAAAATACCAGGTTACAGGGGATTGAAGGGGAAATCCTGAAAATACCTTTATGCTTTGGAATCTCAGTGTGCAAGGAATCAGCTTTTCCAGCCAGCTCTCCCTTCTTTCTTAGTCTTGCTTTTGAATGTGAGAAGGGCAAGCAAATCTCTCAGGTTCTGCATTTAGTTGTAATTCTGTGCCAGAACAGGAAACACCAGTCTAATTATATCAGCAGCATACCTGTAAAACCCATGCAGGTACACAGGAAAGAGCTGTGCTCGCTTACTGATGTAATGAAATCACCCCCTCAGAGTGAGACAGTCTGTAGCAGTGGTAACATAGTCGTGCTGGTACAGCAATCTATGTTAAAGAGAAAATAGCTGTGCCAGTGGGAGAGTCACAGCTGCATGTGTGGCTCAACAGCCAGCTGTACTGACAGCGGTGGTTAATGTCCTTTGACAAGTAGCTTCAGCTGGTAAATTTAACAATCTTATACAGAAGTTTCTGAACTACATTAGAGAAATTCTTCACCAAAAAATGTAGATATGAAGAGAAAATAAAAACCTGAAGAAGGTATAGGAAGATACTTACCTGAGGGGTTGTCTAAGCCTGTTAAACATAAGCGGTATTTGTGCAACTGCTTAAAAATTCATATGACACTGGCTAATATAGTCAACATCATCATGGCTAGGCTTCGCAAACGAAGATTTGAGAAGGGCTCTACCCACGCTTGCTGCAAGCGCACTGATGGCTAAAAAGGCCAATGCGAGATAGACAAGTCCGGTTGCAGAAGGCACAGCAGAAAGACTCCCCAGGTGATATCGACAAGACGCGATTCTCTCTGCGCTGTCTTTTCTCCTCGAGAGTGATCCTGCGTGTGTTCTCAAAAGCAGCAGCAGCGTTATAGATGGTGTGTCTCCAGGCCTCCCGATTGGAGGCCAGGGTAGACCAATGGTGGTGATCAATATGGCCAAGACTGAGGGATTGTTTCAGGCAGTCCTTGTATCTCCTCTTCGGGGCTCCTCTCTTGCGGCAGCCAGTGGCAAGTTACCCACAGAGCACGATCTTAGGGAGGCGGCAGTCCTGCATCCTGGAGATGTGCCCTGCCCAGCGCAGCTGTGTTCTCAGCAGCATGGCCTCAATGCTCGTGACTGCTGCCTGTTCAAGGACAGACGTGTTGGTCACATAGTCAGTCCAGTGGATGTTTAGAACTATACGGAGGCAGCGCTGATGGAAGCGTTCTCAGAGACACAAGTGGTGCCGGTAAATGACCCATGATTCAGATCCATACAGAAGAGTAGACAGTACAATGGCTCTGTAAACGCTGATCTTTGTACTTTTCTTCAGGTGTTTGTTTTGCCATACTCTTTTATGGAGTTTACCGAGAGCTCTGTATGCCTTAGCTAACCTGTTGTCTATCTAATATAGTAGCTGTGTGCTATAAAAACATAGGATCAGTATTTGGAGAGGGTCAAGAACAAAGGATTTTTTGAGTATACTGAGTCCGGGAATAAAACTGTAGGGCATTTCCCAAACACTTTGTTATTCACTGTGTTATTAATTAAGAACTACTCTGTATTGAAGCTTTAGCTTTTATTTGTTTGTTTACTGTTTTCAAAAAACATGGAACAGACAACATCGCTAGTAATGATGGGTGGTGTGAAACAAAAGCACTGTGTCTGTAGACCTGTAAAGAAGAAGGTAAGTAGGGAGGAAATGAAGAAAAATGAGTTCTAGAGCAGCCATGATCAACCCCTGAGTTTCATGGACCAAAGATGTGCCTTGATTTTTACTATCAAGCCAGAACTGATACTCTGCACCAGCACAATACGTAAAGATTTTGCTGTGCTGGATGTTATGGTACCCATAACTAATTTTTTGTGTGTCCAGCATTATGCTTTTTAATCAGACTTCGTAACATCTCCTAGGCTGTTGTCCTTGGTCCCAAGCAGTCCACCACCTCTCATACCACCTTCTTCCCTGCCACAGGCACACTGCATCTTTCTTGCTACACCCAGATGGTGGTTTTAATGAAATTAGTTACATAATTATTTATAAGGTTGTACACCTGTTGATTTCTATTCTTCATCAGTTATAACAGAACTGTAATCAGGATATCAGAGACTTCAAATGTCAGAGTAGATGATTATTGTGAATTGTTCTAGTCTTTTAACCTCTGGACATCAAACTTCCATGTGCTAGAATCAGTCATAAATTTATATGAACACTGCAGTGCTACCTACTCTCATTGGAAATAAAAGCAGAATTTCATCCCTTTACACATTTATGATTAGGTTATTATAATGTACGTTTAATATACATACAATATACAGATAACACACACATCCTGAATATTGTAATGTAGGTTATTAATAGTGTGCAAGTATTGCAACCTTAATGGGTCCATAACATTTAGTGTCAGTGTTGATGGTGTAAAAGTTAGCTCACAGGTTTTCTGACCTTTTTTTGTTAGTAGTATTATATTAAGATTATTTTTAACTTCTTTATGTATTTAAAAGAGCATTAAAATAACAGGAACTCATGACTTTTTGCTTATAAAAACCCTAACACTGTTTTTAAATAACATAGATCAGATCTGATTATTCTTTAGCTGTGCATTGGTTGCGTCTATGCTTAAGTTTAATGTGTGTATGCATACGTAGATATGTCCAAAATGCATATTCTGACATTCTTTCACTCCTGAAATCTATCAACATTGCACTGGCTTGATGCACCTTCCTTTTATTTTTCCTACTTACTTCAAAGAATAGTAGAAAACCAAACACCACTACTACCACATGGTGTCACTCTATTCCCTGGAATGAGCAAAGTTCCATTTTCCTGGAATTCCTGCTAGCATCAGCTGCTTCAAAAATAGGAGAGTAAATAAGAACACCTCTCTCTCCTTTCTTTAAGAAAGTTTGTACTCTAAAAGGAAAAGGCTGAAACGGCTTGGAAAACGTACTGGGCTTTTGTCTGCAGATCTGGCATCCCTAGGATGTCTGCATTGCAGGACAAAAGAATCCTGGATGGATTTTGCACAAGCTCAGGCTCACTCAGCCTAACCTGGTGAGGGGACGTGAGGGCTGTGGGGTGCCTGTAGATCATCCCAGCCCTACAGCCAGGATGTCCAGCCATTATATGTGGAGATAAGACACTGTAAGTGTGAGCTATGGCTTCTTGAAATTGCGCTGTTATCAGGAAAGTTAAAGTAACATTTTATTTTACTGCCAATAAACCCCTTTAGAGATCTTGCACCCTCATGAAAGTCCAGTATGACCTTTCTGTGTTTTGCTGTTCTCCACCTAAACTGGATTTTGGCCCTTCGCATAAGAGCAGCTCTTGCACGCTGGATTTAGTATTGTCAAGCAGTATGAAGAATCTCAGTTCTTTGCACTAGAAGTATGTGACAAATGCCAGAGAGATGTCGAGACATAACACAGAAACAAGCCCCTTGAAAAACATTTCTAAGCTCCTCAAAAGACAGGTAAAATACAGGAATGTTTGTTTGATATGTATATACCTATAAAGAACAGGCTGATCCTTTTCGTTAGATTACACAGAAATCCCAAAGAATTACTAAAACTTTTACAGTAGCTTATCTTCCCCTTCCTCCCCCCTTAAGGTTTGCTAGATTATCTGCTGATCCCATTACTTTGTGTTTCTAATAATAGATATAGGAAGTAGGAGAAATGATAACGGTACCACTGTTGCAGGAAGGCTACCTCCTTCACAATATAATCCACCCTCACCACCACCTCCACCAGCAACTACACTTCAGCTGGAAGGCATGGTAAGCATGTTCCTGGAACAGAACTGTATTTGCTAGAAATGAAACTGAACTTCCTTGCTTGGAGCTTTTTGGAGAGAGTCAAAGTGTAAAAGGAAATCTGTGGGTGTGTTCAGATTGTAAAAATGAAGTGACTGGAGCACAGCTGCTGTGACTTGTACTTTCATTAAGCTTTGCTTTTTATTTTAGTGAAAACGCATTACACTAATGAAGGCAAGGTCACTACAATAAGCAGAATTAGTTCTCCAAGGTTCTTTATGTAAAAAACCTGTTGAGTTTTTCTTTAAAACACCTAAATATAATGTACTCTGAAAAGAAGAAAAATTGGCTTGACTTAAGGCTTCTTTTTTAGGGGTCTAACACATATAGGCACAGAGGGAACTTGATATATTGTCCTGTCATGTCAGCCTACCAAGATCATTATCCAGTAGCTTGGTTGTTCTGGACCTGCCCTGGAGTCATCCTGAAAACATTGCCACTGTAAAACCATTTTATGCTGAAATGTAGGTTAAAACAAAGGTGTGTGTGCCTCTCTCCTTATTTATTGTTCTAGTAGTGACAAATGCTATTCACACCATTTCTACGATTTTTAGACAAGTGATTTTAAATTAGCCAGTAAACAGTAACTAAAAAGATAAAATATCTGCAAAGGCATTAAAATTAGAAGGTTAATTAGAATAGTAAAAAACCTGACTTTCTAAAGAGTAAAATTTTATTTTCTAGGAAGTTATACTCATTCTTTGTAAACTCTGGTTTTATTCACAGTTTTCTAGCCACCTTAGTCATGCAAGCACTTCTCAGACCAGGCTAGATTCTGATTCTCCAGTAATCATCACTAGCACAGCAACAGGATCTGGTGTGACATCAACTCAAAAACTGGTAACAAGCTAAGATTAACTTTTTTTTTCCTATTTTAAGACAGTTATAACAAGTATTAGTTTGGATTTTGTCATTTCTGCATTTTTCAGAGCAACACAGGTATGTAGTTGAGGACACTGCTGTAGAGTTTAAATAGCTGTGTGAAGACACTAGCTGGCAAATGCTCGTTAATGTTACATAAACCCATGTATGCTAAGAGCAGTTTTAAATTAATTTTGGAGGTGAGGAGGCAGAAGTGTAGCAAAATAAGGAACAGAAGAATGCATGTACACTTACATGTAGTGCAACTGGTGTTTGACTTGATACCCTTTTGTTATGGAAAGAGTATGCTTTGCTTCATTATCCTGCTGTTTGAAATGTTTTCTCATTCCCTTTTCTGTACTAACTCCTCTCCTTTCTTCTCCCCATGTGACACAGTTTGCTGTCAGAGAGAGATGCAGCGTTATATGCGTGGAAGTTTTTTGTATCTGCTCTGTCCTTGCTAGACAGGCTTTCCACAGTGAAGTACTTTCAGCTATCACTTGAGTATGCAGTCAGTGAGCAAAGCAAAGCTATCCATGCTGCTTGATTTTTGTCAAATTAGCCTTGCTCCCCTCAGGACAGAAGTCATTTCCCTGAAATGCTATCTCATACTTAGCATGGAAAAAGATGGTTGCAACTAGGTGGAGCAAATTCAGTCCTGTGTCACATAAGTGCACTACCTGCAACATCACGTGGTCTGTTTAGGCACCTGGCAGATAAAACTAAGCAAAAATATTAGAGCACTGTAAATATTGTGGTTAGCATTTTTTACCAACTAGTGTTTAATTTACTTATAGCCCATGGCAAAAGTGATAACATCTGCTCAGCAGAAAGCAGGAAGAACAATCACTGCTCGTATCACAGGCAGAGCTGATATGGGACAAAAATCCAGAACTTGTGGGAGTTTAGCAGTGATGGGAGTTGCTCCACCCATGAGTTCAGTCATTGTTGAGAAACATCATCCAGTCACTCAGGTAAGTCAGAATTCTCTTTGTTACAGTATTCCTATTACAATATGTTTGGTAGTAGTTTAAAGAAATATAATATTGTGAAGAGGTATTAGACAAAACTCAGACTTGAGTCCTGTTTAAAATAGCAAACAGTACTTGCTGTCTTTGGGCTGGGTAGAAGGCTCTGCTGATGAGATTGCCACTTTAATATATTTATCTTGTTTCTGTAGTAATTATTTCACAGGTATAGTAGTCTCGTTTCTCTTTCTTAGCCACCTCTTCCATGAGAAGTACTCAGTTGATCCAGCAAGGTTTGGTGTCCTCACCATGTCACCACAGTTTAAAGATGAGTTATGGTACAGAGCAGGAGGAGTGACCGAAGCAGAGGTGGTAGAGGTATAGACTCACCTGACACGCTGAGCAGCAAATGCAAAGAGGGAAAAAGTAAAACCCTTGTCCAGAGGCAATCAAATTAGTCAAGTCTGCTGCTTGTTGTATTTTTGAATCCTATTCCCTGTTTTTATCATGAAGGATAAATATTGCATTCATAGGGTATGGAAGCAATATACAAGAGCACTATACAAGTGGCCCAAATGGCCTAGGTGATCACTAGACATATAGACCAGTCTGAGCAAAAAATGCTTTTACCTGGAGGTATAGGGAATGATTGAAGATACTTTTTGTTATATTTTAACGTCTAAAATAGCAACTGAGTTTTCTCTGTGTTACCTGAAAGTCCAGTTTCTTTTCAGTGATACAACCAGAGCAAGCAGAGCTACTTCATGTCCCTTAATCTGGCTGGAGTTACTGGTAGCTGTGTGAGGGATGTTCTGCTTTCCCCCATTTCCTGCAGTGACTCAGAGCACTGTGGCAGGCTGCATGCAGCTTTCTAGAAATTGGCCTCCTAAGCAGAAATTCATAATTAAATTGTATGTCCTTAGGGGATTAGAGGCTCAGTGTGATAATTATTTCATTAAGAACAATTTCTGAATTCAGAGTATGTGACTAGTGGGACAAGTAATGTACCTAAATACTGTATCAAAAACTGAAAATGTACATTCTGAAAATGTAATAAATGTGACAGCCCCACCTCAAGATATATTTCTGTATACTCTTTCTGAAAATAAATGCCTAAGTGGAAGACAGATTGAAGTATTCCTCTTGAGTTAATCTGAGAAGGAAGAGAGTTTGCCTTGATTAAAAGTAGAATGACTACTGTTTATTACACGAAGGTGGCTAGTTTTTTGTGCAGAAAATTAATTGTTGATAAAATTGCAAAACTTTCCCAAAAATTTCAGAGACCTTTCAGAGGCTTCCTCATAGCAAATAATAAGCTTCAAAAGGAAAACTGGCATGGTTAAATTAGCACTACAGAGAAAAATTCTGAACAATTTGGTAAAAAAAAAAGAACAAAAGAACCAACCTTAAAATGAGATAGAGATGATAAAAGCTAAAGATAGCTAGTTAAAAGTTTAGCACTTGGCATTCTAAAAACTGTATTACAGGTAAGAAAGGAAAAAAGTTACTCATTCTGTTAAAGTAACCCTTTTTTTTCCAATTTGGTGAGTGTATTTCAGTTTGCTGGATTGCAAATCTTTGTTTAAACTACAGCTCAGCTGGGGCTAATTTAATGGGATTTTTTTGGTACCATTAAGTGTTTTGATGTATCTAATTACTTTTCAGCAAACCGTATCGCAAGCCACTGCTGCCAAATATCCTCGAACTGTGCTCCATTCTTCTGGTTCTACCACTGCGAGACCTGCAGGACAAGCTGGGCGAATGCTTCAGGGCCAGACCCATACTAGTGTTCAGTCAATAAAAGTTGTTGACTGAGTGAATATCTTTATCACCGATGGGGGTTTTTATCAAGGTACCTCCTCCCAGTCTTTTCAGATTTGATGTAATAGGGCCTAAAGGACATATCATGTTTTTACCCTTTGCTAAAAAAAGTTGTTTGTTTTTTTTTTAATGTAAAAGTGCTTTTGTAGTAACATCTGGAGGGGAAAAAAATTTGAACTGTTGCTTTACCTCCAAACTACTTGAGAACTTATTTTATTAAGATATACCCTTTCTATTTAAGGAATCTTTTGCACACTTTTAAATAAAGGATACAACTTGATTTTGTCTGAATCTCTTTGTTTAGTTCCAATGATACTAGCATCTGTGTTCAAGAGAAAATTAAATTTATTTTTGTTACAAATGCTTTTAGTTGCTTATACAGGTAAGTGTAGTTGATATGCACCTTAATTATATCCTACATCTTAGCATACTTAGATGAAGAACAACAGGGTGGTATCCTTCACGCCCCAGGGTGCAGGTTAGGCCGGGTGAGGTACTGAGTCCAGCAAATTCTTAAACATTCTCATTTTCCAAGCTAATGTTGCAGAACTTGATGCATTGCATAATCTGAGGATTTACCACTCTGTTCTTCATACTCCTGTGATGCTTCACAGCCACGTCAAAAAAAGTTGCACACAAGAGGGCAGTTTGGTGTAAGATTTCTCACAAAGATACAGATTATCTTTTTAGTACAAGCAGTAGGTTTCTGTCCAAAATCATGCAAATTATATGCAAACAGAAAAGACGATTCAATTCGTCCATTACATGATAAAAACATTGCTGTGTTATTATAGAGAAGATAGACATTTTACATAATTTTTCAGATAAGCAATATATTAAATGAGAGAATCTTTAAATATGTTCAGCAAGATACTACCAAATATTAACTCAAGATAGGAACAGGTAAATAATTTATAGATGTGTTAAGTATTAAATATCAAATGTTCTTTTTGGAGTATGTATACAGTGTGATAGAAAATTCTGTAGCCAGCATACTTGGGTTTAGACATGATATTTTTGTGTATTTCACTATATAATTCAAATGCTGAAGAAGAATGACTTGTCAAGCTGAATCTCAAACGAGGCCACGTGCCAGCCTATTTCTGGAAGTGTTAATTTATTTATACAAATTTTTTACTTATTTTATTTAATTTTTTACTTATTAATTTATCTTTACTTATTAAATTTAATTTTTCAGTAGAAAACATCTTATTTACATTTCACTTCGAACATAAAATAGCTTAAATTGCAGTTCCAATATGGAATTAGTGCATCAATGTTAAGTGAGGTGTAGAAATTGCAAGGGGTGGCTCTTGCTTAGCAGTATAGTCATAAATTACCAGTCAGCCATTCACTCTTAAGTTCCTTAAATTGTTGTATAGCAAGCATTTGAGAAAGAAGTTACCTACATTTCAAGACTGCAAGTTCTTCTAGCTTAGAAAAAGTTGTACAACTTCAAAAAAAAAGGTTTTTGTTTCCAGAAAAGATTATTTGAAAGTCATTTTCCATCTGACATGTAATTCCACCATATATGCCATGTTTTACTGATGAACTCATGAAACTGCACATTTTCTGGAGTCCATGCCAGCGCTAATTGAAGCTCTGATCTTCTCTGTAAAGTAAAAGAAAACACTTGCTTGGCATGCTCTGCTTCTTACAAGGTCAAACTAATCTAACTGAAGGGTGGCCAGTTACAATTTAACAATGTGTGCAAGACAAAGGAGGGAAGCAAAGTTTGCTCATTTTTGCCTTCCTTTAGAAATCTCAAGTCTCACTTAAATGCTTTCTCTCAAGCAGCCTCACCCTGCAGCAAGGGCAGAGTCCCAGAGAGGAAGAGTGTCCTCCAGCCCTGCCATGTTCACACCATCCCAGCACCAGCGGGGACCTCGGCACCACACTGCAGTCTCCCGGAAGGCCGTGTAATGTGCTCTGTGTCAACTTACCAGCTAAAGGCTGAAATCCTGCTGCCACCAGATCTTCATATAGATGTTTGACAGGATTCTGATGAGCCAGCAGCGTGCCGTGTAACCAGATGAGCAACATTCTGTTTCCATGTTCCTTGTAACTTTTTTTCCCTATGCAATACACAAAGTACTTGTTCAATATGCTGGAAACAGTGTATTTTGTGCTTTGGCACTTTTAGAGTTGCAAAAGGTTTTAAAACATGCTCAGTTATTTCCTTTCTCACCCAGAAGAAAAATGAAGATTGAGGCTAACAAAAGTTTTTTAAAAAATCTAGTTTTATCCTAACACTACTGTTAAGAGAGGAAAAAACCCTAATACATCTTAAAATAAATTTTTCCTTTAATTTTTGCCCAAGATGTGGAAATGTACCCTAGAGTAACAATCAACAAGCATAATATGTGCTGTTGAAGTATTGTTTTACCAGCACTTGAGATGCCTGAAACCAGAAACTACTGTTTCATGGCAGCTGTGCAGACAGAGCATGAACACAGTCTTTCTGTGTCACGAGGTTTCCCAGGTCCTCGTTGGCAGGATGACCTGCAAGACCCTTCCATACTGCTCACTGCTGCTGGTTTTGATCTCCAAACAGGAAGGTTTTTTCAGGCCAGGAGGCAGAGCAGAAGTGGTCTGTACTTCTACAGCACTACTTCCTAGGATCTAAGGACGAGGCTTGTATCCCTTCACTGCGTGATACTCACATAGTTTAAAAAGCAACACTGCATTGTGGAGTTTTTTAGCCTACATATTATGTCTGGCCATTCAGATATTATTACCTGTCCACTGTTCTTCAATGGCTTTAATTTGTTCATCTGTGAACTTCCAGAATATGGCCAATTTTTTCCATTCACGGGGTTTTAACTGGTTGTATGCTAGATTCCAAAGGGAGGAACGGATTTGCTTGGTCTGTGTACTATGATCTTGTTTGAAGGACACACTGAAGTCTGAGCCATCATCATTGTGAGCTGGATGTGTCTGAAGAAGAAAGCAGGTGATAAATTTTGTAAGAGAGTTGGGAACCTTTGCTTAGTGAGTAGTGAACAATGTCCTGTACAGCCAGGTGTAGCTACTGACAGGTGATTTGCTCAGTGCCTGTAAAGGAACCATGTATGCCTTATAGAAACGGAACAAAGTCCTCCCTTGTCTGCTGCTATGCCTTATGAAATGAATTGCAAAATAAAACACTTTCTCCGCATTTGATACACAAAACCAAAGTAACAGCAAATACTATGCCAGCACTACTGTGAGCCTACTTTATGCCACATTTTGAACATGGTTGAGTTTCAGACACAGTTCTTTCTCTTTCCCCTTGCTTCTCAAAGCACTGACCTTCCTTTGAGAGTAGGCACCCACCCTCGGTGAGGCACTTGCTCAAGCTGTTCCTGCCTCTGCCCTGTCAGCTTCACATGGCTGAAGTGGGGACTTGCAGATCATTTGCTGGCAGCATGAGCCATTGGCTTCAGCATGCAGAACCCCATTCAGCAAAGTGTCTAAACAGCAATGTCTAAACACACACACATTTTGAACCTGAATCTGGTTTCTTTACCAGATAGAAACCAAAACCAAATGGATTTTACCCTCCAGATTAAAAGTGATGTTGCTACTGTATGTGTAGCTCACCTGAAACAGGAGTGATGGGGTTGCTTCTTGTTTGGGTGCCTTTGCAAAAACCATGTCAGTCAGTGATTTTAGCTCTAACTGAGTGGTGCCCAAGGAACAGTCTCATTCCTAGGTAGGTAAGCTCAAACTACTTCTATATTTCATTTTGTTTAGGTACTAGTCCTTTCTCAAATCAATTTCCAAAGGGAATAACGTCTTCAGGATTTGATAGAGGATTACAAAGCAGATACTAAGCAAAACAGGAAATGAAAGCATGCCACATTAAAAAGTGCTAAGCATAAAGTGCTTCATTCCAAATTAAATTCAACAGAAAAATACAACAGGATTGTTTCCTATACCTCATGAGAGTCTTAAATAAAAAAAACTTTCTCAGTTCAGTAACTAAGCATTATCATATGCATATTTAATTCCATTCATCTCGTGCAACTAATAAAAAACTGTTTGCAGCAGCACAGCTTCTCTTTGCTGCTAATTCTGTTTTCAGGCAATAGCAAGACAGGACAGTAACAGCAGCTCTCAAATCCAGCCTGGACAATGATAGGGAAGGGTTAGGTAGAAACAGTAAATAGAAAAAAATGTCAAACAGAGAGATGACACTCACACATTAGTATCACATGCCCTTCCTCACAGCTACATGACATTTCCTTTTGTAACTAATGCTTTGTCATAGGTGATAAGTCAGCTCAGTGTAACAAAAAGACAGTTCTTAAAATAACGGTTCCAAATGTTGTAGTTTCCTGTGTGGTAACACCACCTGAACAACATCAAATTCCACAGCTCTAAGATCTAAGTTACTCCCAAAGGCTGTGCTCTCAGCCTCAGGCAATGGGCTACAAACATTTATGTTTGTATTTCCAAACATCTCTGGTGCTCTTGTAGAAAACCATCTACTGAACTGTCTTTTTTTTTGTCTTCAGGCAATTCAGTACACAATGCCAAGAGGTTAGGAGCATTACTACTTTCAGACTTTTCATGTCTTCTGGGGCAACAGCTGACTTCACTTCTAATTCTCTTTTAAGCCAAAAGAAACAATAACATCGCTGACAACTCCAGCTGAACTGGTGCAAATCAAATATGCATGATACAGGGTGTTGGGGAGGCACTTTTCATGATAAATAATCTATATCCGTGATTTACGAGCCCTGTAACATTAAGTGTCATTGATTTGGCCACACAGGGTAGGAATGGGGTGGTAAAACCAGATAATTCTGTGTATGCACTGGGATAGGATCAATATGCTTATACACTTGGATGACTTTTTAGTGAAAAAAACACTGCCTGGCAGGAAGCAGGAGTGAGAATGAAGTCACAGATTGGTATGGCAGTTACTTTTAGCCCTTTAGGGAGGCCCAGCACTATGCAGCCCACATTTAAGTAACAACTAGGGAAAGAAGGTAAGAAATTCAGACAATCTAAGCTGTGTCCTTCACTTATTGCTATATTCTTTTCCATTTCACTGATTTAATTTTATAATTAACACCAAAGCAGCTGAGCCCTTAGTAACAAAAGAGTGTCAGACATCTACACTCCACCATTTTTCAACCACAGATTCTGCTGTACCAAAGGATGCAGGGGTCAGCATGGATCCAGCTTATCCCAGCTCCGATGCTGATGGCATAGGTTGAATTTGATTTAGAATCTTCCTCCTCCCCTTTGTCTCTCTGTGTAGAGCACGATACAGGAAAATGTGAAGGTTTGCCTACACTTTAAACAGCTAGTCAGGAATTAAGCCTGTATCTTTCAGCCTGCCAAAAGGAACCACCTCAAGCAAAAGACACTTCAAAATCAGAATTGGCTTGCTTTTATCACTATCTTCAGTATAATGAAAGATGCCTCTTACCTGTGTCATGGTGTAATACCTTTCTGCTTTAATGATCATATCTACAATGAGGGCATGATTGCTCCTTGATGCCACAGCTAGTGCAGTTTTTCCATGCTGAAAGTACAGATAGTGAATCAGAAAATTATCTCAGGGAAGTGTATCATAGAAGAAACACAAAAGCAGTTCACAGAGTCCCATCCTTTTTTTTTTTTTTTTTTTTTTTTTAAATTCATTTTCCCCAGGAAAAGGCATTTACTACAATTTTATGGCTTTTGAGTAGTTACAATAAAAGTTCTATGCTCTGCATGAACTCTATTGCCTCAGCCCAGAGGTGGTCAATTTCTTTCCCACACTGGACTCCCCCTTAAAGAATTTCTGGTGAGGTACAGCTGTTTCAGAAACCTCCTGCATTCAGACTGCTGCATATTTCACATCAGCTTGCATTATCCAGTCACTGCTTCCAAGTTCACACAAGCCCAGGCATCTCGGGTTGAAAATTATCACAGTACAATCCATTCCCATGTAATGGTTAAACTGGCATTTCAGAAGATAGGCTGGCAAACTTAGAAGTCAACTTTAAGGGCAAACCTGTACCTTATTTTATATGGGAAGAGAAGCTGGCTCACAGAATGAAAAGATAATTACTTTTCTCATGACAGCTGAAATGATCACAACCATAGGGTGATGCTTCATGGATAGTACACGCAGCCAAAGTTCCTAACAGCCATTGCTTTAATTCCAGAGGTCTGCTCAGTCCATCTGGACCCATTTCTGCTTATCAGCACTTCAGTGTAAAGGCATCTCAGTGGCTCTAAAGGGTTATCTCTGCAATGGTCTGTTCTCCGCAGATTTGCACCAAGTGTAACTGCCTTGGATTTTGCTAGGTATTCTCCACATGTCAAGTGTTAGGCATTCTGGAAAACTAGACCTAACAGAAGCCAACCCCTCAATTAGAAGATGCAGTAATGAAATTATAAAGTATTTCAACTATCCAGCTATGATAAAGTTCCCTAGTATATACTTTTCAAATTCTAGCTCCTGAGTCTGCTCAAGATCATTCTTGTTTTTAGAAAAGCATCACATTGGAAGCCAATGAATTTACATTTCATTAAACCTTTAAGGCATAGGCTTCCTGTAATTGTGAAGAGTCCAGAGAACACAAAAGCTCCTTGGGTTCCACCTCTGGAGAGGTGCTCTGCATTTCACAGGGAGGCAGAGGGGATAGGTAAAGGGGGTGTTTCTTGCCTCCTGTGCTGGTGCAGGCACTGCTGGCATCAGCATGGCAGTCTTGCACATAGGGAGCTCTCTGTGCATTATCACTCACAACCAAAGACAGTTTTACCTGCAGATGGGAAGAAGGAATAGCTCCTGAGAGAGCATTTCCTGAGCTCTAACAGCTTGCAACTTATGCAGATGCATGACATGCTCTGGAGACTGAGGACTCCTGCTGCCAGGTTATGGGTTGCCAGGACAACACTGTGCAATAGCAGCAGGCGTCCCTGTTTCCTGTCTACTGTTTAGTCATTTTTGGCATCTCAGCACCAATTCAGTTCAAAGGGGACTGTACTTGCACATGTTCCCAGCGGTGGCATGGCCTCAGGGGTCATCCAGCAAACAGGCAAGGAAAAAGCTACTCCAAGAAATAAAACCAATGCAGAAAGGTGACACGTCCTGTACTAGTTCAGAGCCAAATTCACATTACAAGTCCTGAACCCCATCAAGATTGCTGTAATACCAGGGCACTATCAATCCTAAGACTTGTAGGTGCTTAAGGTCATAGCAGGCAATAAGTGATTTTCTGTGTCTGTCCTTAGAATACAAATAGGTTGAGAAAATTTTCCAGTGGCTAAGGTGCTGTCTAAAGGGGACAAGATTTCATTCTGGGTTAGCCCATATGCGAGTTGCAGCTCTCTGGCAAGTGTAGGCACGATTCTGAATGAAAAGGCTTAATTACAATGCAGCATCTTACCTCAGCCTCCCAAAACACTTTAACCCCCATGCTCAGAGCCCCAAGCTTCATGTCAGGCTAGGGAAAAATGAGACAATCCTAGTCCATAAAGCTTTACTTCTCATCAGGACAGTTTTGTGCGGGAAAATTACTTTGTAAAAGTTGCTAAAGAGCTAGATTTTGCTCATAATAAACATCAAATCCATCAATTCAGTCATGCAGAAAATCTGTAATAGTGGTAACAATGTAAAAAAGGGAAATTCAATCTTGCATTAATTTAGCAAATTTGTAAAAATGGGGTTTGATATTCTGTCCTTTCAAAAGCACTTGCCTAGCAACTTTGCTTTTGTACTTCTTCCAGCCATTACTCTTCCTACCTCAGTCTTTCCAGGCTGAAGGTTATAAACCAAAAAATAAAATCACATAATCCTTGCATGTGTGAGGAATGCAATTTACCTTATCCATGGTCTTGAGATCACAGCCTGCCTTAAGCAGCACTTCCACCAACTCCACATTACCAAGATCAGCTGCCAAATGCAGAGGGGTTTCCTGCCTCTGGAATTATAGACACCAAATAAATGCAATACATTAAACTCCTTCCCAGAAGCAGAATGCTCTCAGGCTGAATCTAAAATTGATTCACAACAAGAGGTAACCTTAGTGAGAAAACACTGAACAAAATGAAATAATTTAACTTATGAGTGATCTACCTGCCTGTTTTACTTCAGGTAAACAAGACAGCACATGGGATCTCTGTAGGAAAACCAGACAGAAGTTCCAGAGAGCTCAAGAAAAGTTGATCTAATGCCCCTCTAATGTACCGTGAACTAACAAGTTCTCTCTCTCTTCCCTCTTTAAGCAAGGTGTTTTGGACAGAGTGCTTCATGCAACTGCCAACCCACACTAATATTATCCTCTCAAGTAACCTCTTCCCTGCTGAAATGCATTCCATTGTCTTGAGAACTGAACATCCATAATTTTCAACATAATGATGGCACATCCACAACCGGGCTTTTTCGCGAGCCCTGCCACAAAATGATGATAAGTAGCAGAAGTCTACCTGTTTCCTAATGTGTTCAGTAATGCCACTGAGAACTGACTGCCTCTGGGTGAATTCCTGTGTGACATTTCCAATTAGTTGTTTAACCTTATGAACAGTAATCAAAATCACACTCACAACACACTCTAGTATGAACAGTGTGATTACATGAGGATATTCAAGTAGCTGTTACAAGAAGTTGGGGGAGAACCTATCCTGGAGGATAAGAAGGGGTAGTGCTGTTTCTTCATGTTTCAACAAAGCACCTCTCCAAGGAGGAAAGGGAAATGGTGTAATTGTTGATTTTCTTCATGAGATGGTTCCCTGAGTACCTGGCTAGTGGCATTTCTAGGGCCCAGAAATACCAGATTAGGCACAAGGGAAGTGCTTTTATCATCACTCTCCCAGGCAAAGAAATACAAAGTGACACACAACACAGCAAAAGCAGAAAGTAGTCATTAACAATTATAGGAGGATTTGTACAGCAAAAAAGGGATCAAGCATCAAAGTAAATATGACACACATTAGCAGTGGATGTGACCTACAGTGAACTCACCAACAACCTGCCAGGTCTCCACTGGATCACCGGCACCAAGCAGAGGCTAAAGAATCCTGGCAAAGGTGGGGAAAACGTGTTGCTGTCTCTGGGTGGGCTCAAACCACCATCTTTTCAGTTAACAGCTGAACACACTGGCTGATTGCATCACAGAGACCTACGACCTCGTCATTCAGTGTGTTGCTGTGTAATGTGGAGCAGCACTTCACTGAGCTCTGCTCAGCTGTGTTCCCTCTCAGCTCCCTCAGCACCCACAGTCTATTGACCTGGGGGCACGGAATGCGAAACAGAGAAATCCTTTGTGCTGCTCAGCAACAGTTTTAACTCTGGTGTCTTACCAGCACTGTTTTGGTCACAGATCTAAACCACTGCACTCTGTGGGTTGCTTTAAAAAAAGATTCCCTTCTTTCCAGTCAAATGCTACACTGCAGTGGGTTTCCCTCTGAGGTCAATACCACTGAGACATTTCTGTCATCTATTGCACATGAACCGTAACACTTGAACAGTAAATTAACCCAAAATTTTCCTGGTATATAGCATTGTGCTTATCTTGCACAAACAATATTAGCACAGCATGTACCAGTGACTAATACATATGCACACACGCAAAAAGATAAGGAGGGAACCACCTCTTCCTTCCTATTTTTTTGCACCCTGAGCTCATAAGGCAAAAAAAAAAAATCAAGCAAAATCCATCTAATCTCTTCTTTACCAATGAAGTTAGGTTAATTCCCAGTTTTTCTTACATTGTTTAGGGAGTTTATATCATGATTGGCATCCAAAAGGCTTTTTACTACTGGTAGATTATTACCGATGACTGCTAAATGGAGAGGGGAATTCTTCTGCTGTGGAGGGAAAATAATAAACTATTATACTTGGGTAAATTATTAGAAGTTCATTCAAACAAGAAAGAGGTTCTTATTGAAGTCTACCCATCGCAAAGGCAATATGCTCTAGCAGAGCTTCAAGACTGCAGAAAACACAGCTCAATGTGCAGTTATACCAGAGACGGTAGCCTGCTCCTACAGCATCAGGTAAACAAGTACAGCTGAGAAAACGGGAAAGGCTGAGTAGCATCAGTGTGTCACCACTTAGGAATACGGCAAGGCACTCCTCTTAAATGTTCCTACCCGGAACATGATGCTATCCTTGGCAGAGAGATTAGGGTAGTGTTAGGGCTCCCTCAGAACATTAGGTTTGCCCTTAGTTGAATAGCCTGAAGACAGATTTATTCTGGTAAACATGTCAAAACCTACTTTCCAGGAAAAAACTCTTGTCACACATTGCTGCTGGAAATATTTTTCATACTAAACTGACTTGCTGTCATATTTAGAGCAATTTACAGCTGGAAATAAATTAAGGGGTTTTATTTGAGTGATTATTTATTAAAATAACTGGGCAAAGGTCCAGCACCAGTCACAATCCAATCATTAGGTTGGCAAGTTCACTTTGGATGTTGAAGCTGTGACTCCTCTGTTTCTTGTGAAATATAGCTAAAGAATAATTCCATACCAGTACCATTCATGGGTGCCAGACACCAGTTTGGTGCCTTTATAAAATGCAGCCATTTCTTCAGGGCTACAGAAAAATAAAGGAAGCCCTTATGCAGCACCCTGCTGGAAATGTTTTCAAAATATAAATTATGATTGTATGAGTTGTGTCTCCTACAGAAAGCCAATGAGAACAAGGAGCACAACAACTACCCAAACTTCAAATCATTTCCAGCACATCATAAATTTTTCTTCCTTGACAACTTTCCACAACAGGCCAATGGTCATGGCCTAAGTCATGAAGCTGAGATGTCATTTTCATTCTGTGCTGTAAAATGGAAAATAATTTCCTATTCACAGGAAATCTCAGATGTAATAAAAACTCTAATATCTAAACTGAGAAGAGATTTGGATAATATAAATACCCCTTTTTTTAAAAATCCTGAAGAATGGTAGTATGCAGATTTTGAAGGCATTGAGGGTGCATTTACCTTCAGAGGGTGACAGCACTGAAGTGTTTATTTACCTTCTAGTTATCTTTATTTGAAATTAGTTATGAGTGTTAACTCTTTGCCCACAGAACACAGGGAGGTCTGCTTTGCTAGTGCTTAGTTCAACAGGGTAATTTGCCCATCTTGTCCTTGGCTTAGCCTGGCCATCTCTACACAGCGCTGCACCAGTCTGCTTAGGCACTCCCTGAATTGTGCAGCAGGACTTCGTCTCTGTTGGTCTATACGTGTTGCTAATCAATATCCACAAACCAAGTGTTAATGTGTATAGTAAAAAATTCAAGAAGCTACTCAATCTCCTTGAGCTGTCTGTATTCCAAGGAAGTCTGTAAAAGACAGGACGGGCTGAGCAGCAGCAGAACAGTTATTCTGAAATATACTCACCTCAGGTTTAGGAACCAGGTCAATATTCTTATCAATAAGAAAAGTAACCAAGGATAGATGTCCATTCTGAATTGCAACCTGCAAAGCACTGCTATTGTTCTGAAAAAAATTTTGATAGACAGAAAAGACATACATTTTTATTGCTGAAAAAAACAGTACTAAAGAAAGCTACAAATATAGGATAATCTTCCATTGAAGTTTGTGCTATTATCCCCTCCATGAAAAAACTCACCTTTGATAAAATGATACAAAAGGAAGTGGATCAGCAGTCAGGGTGATGTGCTTTTGTCAATAGTGAAGGAATTTCCCATTTTTACTATATCACAACAAATATACTAAAGAACATCAGTATCTGACAGCCCTTCTCAATTGTCATCTATACTGAGCCACGGACAGCAACAATGCCAATACATGTCCTAGTCCGTTAGTTAGCCTGTTAGACCTTTACCAAGCAGGTACTGTGGTATTAACAAACTTTAAAAATAAATCCATAGAAAGTTTTTACATAATAATTCTGTATAAACAAACAAGCTCTCAGTCTACTGGAATCATAAAACTCTTGCAGCAGGCAAGCCAAGGCCATTCAGCAGATGTGAGTTGGACCAAAGTCCAGGAACCAGATGTGGAGAACAAGAACATCAGATCAGTCACTGCCAAAACAGAGGATTTTCAGTTACCCTCATTTGCTACATTTTCTAGTCATATGATGTACTACTGGGCATACAGTAAACAAAGAACTCTATCACAGGACTCTGCCAAATAAATCTAATGCTGTTGTTCTTCCACAACAGTTTTATTCTGTTAATACTTTTTACATTCCCCATTCTATTTTATTATTTTTCCCCATATCATAAAAATAAGCAGAGCAAATACACTTTTAGTACACAGAGAAAAGGGAATATAATGTCCTTCCCACTTCCTGGGATGTCCCACAATCTATGTGCTGTGTACATACCTGAGTTAAAACATTGATGTCGCTCCCTGCATCCAGCAATAGTTCAGCACATTTTTCATGACCTCCTTTAACAGACAAGTAAAATGCAGTTTCTCCATTCTAGAACAAAAGAGAGAAAATGTCTGTTCCCATTTAAGCCATGTGACTAATAAGACTCTGACACAAAACATGCCTGGTAGGCTCAATCAGGCTCTTCCAGATCAATAGAAAAGGGGAGATGGTCCCAAGAGAACACAACCTGAATGCTCCTAAATTAGCACTTGAATGATACGGCAACTCACCAACAGTTCAGTGACAGATGGTATTTATGTGGACAGAGGTACAGTAAGATTTAATGACACAAAAAACTATTTCATAAATATTCATATATTAATATTCATAAATATTAATTGTGCTCTTTTCAAAGAAGACTACTGGAAACAGGCACAGAAACAAAGATGCTGAGCAGCAGTTGTTGCCATTCAACACCAGGCAACACCACCAGCATGATAACATATACAGTAAGTACCAACTTCTGTCAGTATAATGCCATGGATTTCTGACAAATTGCAAATGCCTAGTCCTAGTTATAAGGAGCCTTTTTAACAGAAATAATCTTATTTCATATTTATTTCAAATCTTCTCACACCAAAAAAGTCTCCATGTCTCCACAACAAGTCTCTAAGATAGCTTACATCAGCTGCACAATGATCTACTCCCTGCTTTTAAACTCCTAAAATACATAAAGGTTTAATAAAAATTACTCTAGTGTTTCAACATTCACAAAAGCTTTAATAAATCTTGTTTTTACTTCGCCTAAAATCCTGACACCATTATTCTGGTAAACTGAATATATTTTAGTACTTTGCTCATGATATGGAAAGAGAGATCTGTTTCTATATCCCCCAGAACATGTCCAGATAGAGGCAAAAGTCACTCCATTAGCCATGGCAAGCAGGGGCACAAGCAGTACAAGCTTTGCGTGCAGAAGCAACATTCTTAGAGAAGGCTTGGAAACACAAGGGCTCAACATTTCAAGGAGGCTTGTGTGCCTCTTCAGCATGCATAGCTGAAAATGGCACACAAGTTGTGTAAGAGAGAACCTCCCCATCCACAAATTTGTTGCTGATTAAGGAAGAGGAGGGCCTTGGGTAGGAGTGGGTGTCCCTTGCTCATTTCACACACTAGGCCAGCAGAACAGACCATCAGCCACACAGTATGTTCCCACAGGGGGCATTACAGCCCACAACAAAGGAAATTACCTTGCTCAGCTTTTTCTAGCTGCCCCACAGAAGAAACAGAAGACAAAGGACCCTTTGGAAAGCAGAAAAGCTGAGATGAGCAGCTACTGTGCACTTCCTTCCTCTACTCCTTGTTTAAGCATCAAAATTAAACTCATGACTGCATCAACTCATTAGCTGCACACAACCTTCACAGCTAGTATGCAATTGATGAATATGTTGGCTAACCTCACCAACACTAACCCAGGAAACCAAAAGTGGGTAGGCAGCATCTGAGCCAGTTTCATGCAGGCAACTGAGTTCAGATAGACAAGGTGCAAATCTGAGACCTCTTTGCTATGATGGTATGTGCTTGGTAGCCAAGTTGAACTGACCCAGTGAACAGCCTGAAAAGCACCAGAGATGTTATAAGTGAGATGTTAAAAGGAATGGGATTCCTTGGCTAAAACTGCTGGACAACAGGGAGCAAAGCGGAGGTTAAGGCCCTTCTGTGTTTTCTTCTACCAGTAGTTGGGCATGCCAAATAGAGGGGAAGTCATTGTGTGAGGAATAGAGGACAGGGGAAGAGACAGTGAATGAGTTAATGGAGGTGAATTTATTGGACAAGGAACAAGGAAACAGGATGTAAAGATACTAGAAAAAGAGTAGAACTAACAAGTCCACTCAGTGCCATATCTATTCCTTTGAATTTTTTTTTTTGACAATTTTTCACATCTCTAATTTTATCTTTTTCAGTAGTTTCAGCATCCTTACCTGATTGAGGTCATTTATTTCCTCCCACTGTTCAAGCAGAATTTTTACAACTTCACTGTGACCATTTTTGGCTGCTAAATGTAATGCTGTGTTTCCCTCCTTGAAATTAAAAAGGAAATATTTTAAAACACAGAATAAAGTAAATACATTAACTAAAACCAACACAAAGCCTTTGGTCTTTTATGTACAACTCTCTCTTACATACAAGAAGGAGGTAGATCCACACAGCACATTCCAAGATTGAGACTAATTGCAAGAGGGCCTTTTCACATAGAGGCAGACATTATCTTGCTGATCTAGTTGGTTTTCTGAAAAATTCAGTGTGTACCAGCAAAAAACCTGAGTTCCACAAAAATGGGTACTACACCAAGCCCCCAAGACCACTGATTCAAAGATTAATGGCCAAAACCTGGCTAAGCACATGGAAATTTGTAGTGGCTTTGATGCCAACATCGCAATCTTCAAACTCCGACACCATCAATGCGATATCCCTCTAGCAAATTAAGAAACATAAAACAGAAACAAAACTAAAAGCAACCAACCACTCCAGCAAGAAAATAGAAACAAAGACAAGTTCAGCAAGAGCAGCAGGTTTCGAGCTAAAAGAAAATGCTGGCATAGGAAAAGGTATAAAAATTACTTAAAAATACTCTAAAACTGGAAATTAGGGAAATTAGGAGAAGAAGTCTAAACCTCAGAAAAATGAGAGTCTGGAACAGCTTTTCATTAACAGCATTGAGTGGGAAAAAGTGGGAATCCAAATCCTTTTTAGTAATGATGGTTACAATGTGATTGCATTTAGTGACCTGGAAGATGAGTTTCTGTCCTATCTTCTTAGCTAATTTGTAGGAGCACAGCATTTGTCTCCCATAGTTGCTGTTTACACTTTTAACCTGCTAGATGTCTGGGACAAAAATGTATTTTAACCTCTGCTGTTAGACAGCTGAGCATGGCAGAGCTCTGCGTTGTACTGTAGCTTTTAAACTATTACCAGAATACCAAAAAACCAGCATCACTTCCTGGGTGCTTACTTACATGGTTCTATAAATGCAATATCTGAGCACTTCATGATTTTTAATGTAATTCTCCTTGCAAAGCCTCAGGTGCAGAGAAATACTAACTTGCTCATTCTAGAAACAGTCAAGTAAGGAGCAAACAAATTTAAAGGCAGACATTGAAAAATTACTAAGATACGTTAAAAAACAATGCCAAAAGCAAACTCAATCAAATTGAGGTGTTAAGGTCCTTCTGAAAAATTTCTAGAAGTGTTTATTTGCATCCTGAAATATTTAAACACATTGAAAAAATTAGTCATGCAGGACTTAGCAGTGACACACAGACACACATGAGTGGAGTAAAACACTGGGAAATAAGATCTCCCAGTACAGAGGCTGACACCTTAAACATCTAGGCTCTCCCACTTCTCCCAACAGACAGTAAATGCTAGTCTTGCTTTGCACAAATTATTAATGTATATGATAAACTCTCTTGGCAATCAGATCATAAATCCCACTGTCTTCCCTTAATCACTAAAACATCATCAACCTTTATGGTAGTTGGTCCTATATATCACTACCAGCACTGGGATATCCATGCAACAAATTCACATACTTGGGTTAAGCAGTAACTACAGTGAAACAAAATAATTTTTCATAAATACATTGGTAGTTGTATTTCTGTGGAAAAGAAACCTTTACCTTATCTTTTTCAGATGTGAACAGCTTCAGAGAAATCAAATTGTTTATCATGTCAACATGGCCTTTCTCAGAAGCCAAAAGAAATGGCTTTTTACCTTTCTAGGAAACAATTATGGAAAGAAACATAGTGTTAGAGAAAGCAGAAATACTTGCTTCTGGTTACTAGATACATGGCATACATGTGTGCATGTGTATCCTATATAAAAATGTATGTATCATAAAACTAAGGAGATTTATAGAATAGTAGATATACACAAGAAGATTAATAATTAAAAAATATATAGTTAGTGTAAATAAACAGATTATACATCTTGCATATTCTGAAGAAAATAAATGAATAATGTCTAGAATTGGTAGAAAGTAGAAAATATGCTCAAACTATTTAAATCTGAATTCTTCTCAGTATGAAAGCATTTATCAAAAGAACTGTGTCATTAAAAGTCTGTTCAGAAACAGGCAGTAAAGAAAATTGCAAGATTTGTTTCCATGGTGTAACATATTTGATTTGAATTCTGCAAGCACAGACCAGAACTAACATATCTCAGAAGGTTCATCCAGGAGGCCTGAATTTAGAGCTGCACATTTTGGGGTTATTTTGGGTGGTGTCTAAACTAACAAAAAAATTTCAAACTGTTTACAATTCAACTGCAGAAAGTTTTCTTCACATAAAACCACACCACTGTTCAGACAATGAAGCATTTAACCAGCTGGTTAAAACACCCTCATCTCATAGCTGATAGTGGCCTATATAAATGTCTAAGAAAAAGAAATGCAGGCAACTAATAGAGAATTATGAAATAACCTCAACAAAGAGAAGATACTTCTTCACCTTTCTTTTCCCAAGGCCTAACACAAAAAGGTTTGTTTTGTTAAATTAACTCTGTTTGTCAGCCTTATCATGTGTAAAAAAATTCAGAATTTTCAGTCAATAAAATTCAAGATTGGAAAAAAAATAAAAGAAGGGAGATCTGTTCTCACGGCCATAAGTTTTCCTCACGTAAAGATAAAATATCCTACTTAGCTAAGTGAGCTTTCAAAACAAGATCCAAACATTGTGGGAAGGAAAAATAAAAACACAGCAAACCTGATGAGGACAGGGTCCTGGCACTGTTGAAGAGTCGATGCACCTTTGTAGAATGGCTGCACAGACTTTCATGTTATATCTTGTAGAAATATGCAGGCACTGGCCATAACTGGCAGGTTTTGGTAAGGGCAGGGGGCTGTGAGGGTGAGCTGTGTGGGGGGAGGTCAGAGACTGCCCTTTCATAGCCTTTTCCAGCTGGCTCCACAATGGAATGAACAGACCCCCCACGCGCCAGCACTCAAGCTATCAGAGGAACAGATGGTACCTCTGTGAAAATGTATTTAAGAAAGGCTGGTCACTGCTACAGGGAGGATGCACAAAGGGAGATAACAGGAGGAGACATGAGAGGATGCAAGAGAGGAGACACAAGAGAAGGTACACCTGCAGGGAGACTGCAGCCCACGGAAGAAGCTTGCTGGAGCAGAGGAAAAGAGTAAGAAACAAAGAGCAGAAAAAAAGGAATCCACTGTGGACTGATCCCAACCTCCTCTGCCTCCCATTGCCTCACCAATGTGACTGAGCATCATATGCAAAAAAAGCAAGGAAAGCAGGGGAGGAGAGGTTTCTGCAGTTCAATTGAGACAATCAAAGAGGGAGAAAAGGTGTTCTCTCCAAGTTCTTGTCTGGCTGTTTGTTTTACTCGTTTCTCCATATTCAAGTCAGTAATTAAAAGTTTATGTAACTAGCAATAAATTAAAATTAATTGAATTTCCCCAAGTCAGGATTGTTTTGTCCTAAACAAAAGCCTCATGACATGAAAGAAATAAACAGAAAGAAGCACACTGTACCCCATCAGGCTTGTTTAAGTCATTCAGAAGAAGCTCTTGGAGAAAATAGTCAACTATTTTAATGCTGTTGTTCTGAGCTGCAAAGTGCAGTACATTCATTCCTTCCTGAAAAAACATAAGTGACTCTGTAAGAACAAGTTTGATTTTTTTCCAAACCAAGCATGTTTAGAGTTGATAAAAATTTGTCATAACAAACCTCATTCTTAGCCTTTTGGTCAGCACCTGCTTTAACTAATTTTCGCATTATATCCAGATTTCCAGTCCAAGCTGCGAGGTGAATCACTGTCAGGCCATGCTTCAAATAAAATTACAAAGATAGAAATTACTGTTTGGAATTGGATTTTTTTAACTGCCTTAATACATTGCTACTGTAGCAAGCTGTGCAAAGAAGCCTCATGCCAGGAGATAGAAGATAAAGGCTGAGGGAAAGGGGCCTAGCTCACAAACTCTTAGCTTTGTGGAGGCCAGTGGGGAGTCTCTGAGTGTGTGATGCTTATCTCCTACAAGCCAGACCATGTCAAAGGGGTCCTTCTGTGCACACACCCACCACTACTCTGAGAAGGCCTCATTCCGAGCAGGGGTGCCTCTGAAGCAGCACCCTGTCCCAGCCTAAATGACTATGAAAAAACCAGCACCTCCAGCCTCTGACTTAAAACTTACTTCTGCCTTGCAGAGTGGATTGCAACAACTATCATCGAAACACCTCACACCAAATTTCTTTAAATCTTTTTAATTAATTCAGTGTATCAGTAGGTTCTGCTCTGCAGGCTCTTAGAAAAGCAATATTAACACCTAGCAGTATGAGTGGGATTAAGCAAAATGTAATGCAACATGTTCAGTGTGTCCTCTTCTTGACAGAAGGTCTGGCATCTCCAGAGAAGGACTGATCTCATTTTAAGGGCAGGGAGGGCGAGAGGGGATGTTAAATACTACCTACAAATTATTCTCTCTGTCCAGAAACTATGCAGATAGTTAGCCATGGGTGCAGTGGGTGACATTTCAGGGGATGATATGTAGTGGCTCTATATCCATAAGTCACCATAATTTTCCATTTAGACTTTTTAAGGTTCTTTTCTGTCAAATTCTCTAAAAAACATCTCTACTACAAGGGGGAAAAAAAAAATTAAAAAAAGAACCCTGTTTTTAACTTCTTAGAAACAAAAGGACTAACTCTACCCTGTGCTAATGCAGCCTCATCTTGAATCTTGTGTGCAGTTTTGGGTGCCACAATACAAAGGGGAAGTTATACAAGGAGTGGTTGAGGTCACTTGTCTTGTTCAGCTGGGAGAAGAGGAAACTAAGGGGAGACATAGCAGCCCCCATCTTCCTCTTGAGGGGAAGCGGGAGGGCAGGTACTGATCTCTTCTCTGTGTTGACCAGTGACAGGATGAGTTGACAGAGACTTCAGGGTACTACTCACAAAATATTCATTGAATAAGAAAACATTACAGGATGGTAGAGACCTCTGGAGGTCCTACTGCTACAAACTCTTGCTCAAGGCCTGTCCAACTGGATCAGGTCACTCAGGACCTTCGCCTGGCAAGCTTTGAATAGTTTGAAGATTAAAACTAAAAAACTCTCCGGAAAATCTGTTTCAGTGTTTGACCACCCTGACAGTGATTTTTTTTCTTCATCTTTTATCTAACTGGGACCTCCCATGCTGCAATTTGAGTCCAGTGCCTCTTGTCCTGTTGCTGTGTACCTGTGAGAAGAGTCTGTCTGTCTTCTCTGTATTCTCTCCATATGTAGCTGTTGACAGCCATAAGGTGCCCCCTTTACCATTCTTCTCCCAAGGCTGACCAGGCTCACCTCTCTCAGCACCTCCTCATACCCCATGTGCTGCAGTTCTAATCATCCTAGAGGCTCTGCACAATACTACAGCCTATCAGCGTCTTTTCGGTATTTGCGGAAGTTGCAGTGGAAAACAGTGGAGGGCAATATGGAACATGCATTTGGTGTGCAGGCTACAAGATAAATCTAGGCTTGGGCAAAATTTGTGACTGCATCTTAAAAGTCTGCCCTGAAAAACCTTCCCAACTATGAATAAGGAGAAAAAGTAACTAGAATTGATAGCCTTACACAATGAGATAGGTGGGTGAGGGGAGAGACGTGAATGTTTATCTCAACCTTCCTAAGAGTTTTGACACTGTCCCTCATAACATCCTTCTAGACAAATAGAAGTACAGGTGTAGGCAAACACATAAACCAAGGTGTACTGAAAGCCAGCTGAACTATCAGGCCCAAAATGTTCTCTGATTAGCAGCACAAAGTCAGATGAAGGTCAGTCACAAGAAATGCACACACTGATCCTGGATCCAGCACTGTTTAACATCTTAATTAATAACCTAAATGATGGGGCAAAGCGTACCTGCAGCAAATTTATAGGTGGTATTAAATTGTGAGGAATGGCTGATAGACCAGATTGGTGTGCTACCATCCAGGTGAACCTTGACAGGCTGGAGAAAAGGTCTGGTAAGAAGACAATGAAATTCTACAGGTAAAATTCAAAGTCCTGTACCTGAGGAGGAGCAAACCCAGAAAGCAGTACTGACTGGGGACAACTGCCTGGAAAGTAGCTTGGCAGAAAAGGACTTGGGACTCCTGGTAGAAACTAAGTTAAACATGAATCAGCAGTGTGCCCTTGCAGCACAAAAGGCAAATTATATCCTTGGCTGCATTAGGAATAGCCACCTGACCAAGAGTGATGATCCTTCCCCTCTACTCACTGGTGAACCACACCTGTAGTATCATGTCCAGTTCTGGACTTCCCAGCACAGGAGGGACACAGACATACTGCAGAGAGTCCAGCAAAGGGCCCCAAAGATGCCCCAGGGACATCGGACATATGAGGAGAGATTTAGCAACATGGGGTTGTTCAGTCAAAGAAGACTGGGGTGGATCTTATCATTGTGCATAAATACCTGATGGAAGGGAGTAAAAAAGAAGCATCCAGATTCAGCAGTGTTCATTGACAAGGACAGAGGCAATGGTCACAAACTGAAGACCAGGAAGATTCACATCAACATAAGAAAAAACTTTTTACTCTAAGAATGATCAAACACTGGAATGAATTGCCCGGAGAGGTTACCGAGTGTCCATCCTTGGAGATAATCACCACCTGACTGGACACAGCTCTGAGTAATGTGCTCCAATCAGGAGGCTGGACTAAGTCATCTCTAGAGGTTCCAATATCAGCCGCTTTATATGATTCTCTCTGTGTGGTATTTGAGACAGGGGAGTCTGGGAGGAGAAAAGGAAGTACAAAAGGAAGTAAGAAAAGGTGGGCAAAGAAAAAGACAAGGCAAATTAAAAAAAAAAAAAAAAAAAGGCAAATAAGGCATAAAATCATATGGAGACTAAAAACGTGGAGAATCTTGTGATTGTGGACTCCTGTGCCATGGGTGATGAGATGACCTGCAGACTCCTGTGCCATGGGTGATGAGATGACCTGCAGACCCAAGCTCCCTCCAATATAGCAAGGGACTGCCTTGGACTCTCCATTGGGTCCACCTCTGAAATAGCTGAGATGGTACGATGGATAAGAATAGATAAACTTCTACCTTAAGTGCAGAAGGACAAGAATTGCAGCTTTGTAGTATAAGATCATGCAGTAATTGCATATCAGTGCTAAAAATGGTAACAAGCAATAAAATTGTAACTCAATAACTGCAGCTTGGGAGTGGTATAGCTGTGGATTAATACTACTATTAATAATACCATTATTAATACTATTAATACTAGTTAATAATACTATTAATAGTGGTGTGTTTAGTGCCAGTTTCTTAGAAATGTGTTTTTTAATCAATAAACCTCTTAACTACCTCCATGAGTCACCTCAAGTCTCTGGTCTAGAGATGGGAGCATCATGTATCTGCTGCTAAGAATGCTGCTGTGTATTTTTAACCAGCTTACTTTTTGTACTGAGCAATGTTAAGAGGACTTAAGACTTCATGCTTATTAATACAAAAAGTATGTCAGAAATCAAGTCACAGTGTCTTCATGCTATTTCTTATCAGTTGCAAGATCAAACTGATTGGCAGAGAGTACATGAATCACTGTCAAATACAATAGGTAATGTCATAATATTTAAGCTCTGTAAGCTAATTATGATGGAGTGTTTCCAATGGTCTTTCAAAAAGATGATTAGCTACATATAAGAATTAAAGACAATTCATAATTTAAGGGTAATCTTTAGTTAGAATGAGATTTTAAACGTCTATTAGAAAACCCAACATGTGGGAGTGTCTATACATTCCAGTGTGGCCTCAATGCAACCTCTCAGGGTCATGAAAGGACCAATCGTATGTTTTGAGTCATCTTGTTGCCTCAATAAACCAGGAAGATGGTTAGTGAAAAATAATTTGCTGTAAAAGATAATTTACAACAGATACAGAATAAAATTTACACTATACTCAATTCAGGGATCCATTTCTTAACTGTTTCTATAGAGAGCACTAATACTTGAAGAAAACTTCTTACAGTACTTTCCTATTAGCATTTATATCATAGACAATTAATTTTAAACTTCCATTCAGGTCATGTCTTTCAGCTTGCCAGACAAACGGGAAATGTTGCTTACAACAGTGTAAGATCTGCTTAGGAGTTGATAGGGTCCAGAAGGAGGATATATTTCTTCAGAGCAGTATGTGAGGTATTCACTGACAGAGCAGCTCAGGAGAACATTTCAGAGCAACTCAACCAGCATTAACAAAGCAATGTTTACCTACACTGCAACAACATTCCAAAGCCATGAGCCACTGGTAACTGCAACTGATAGATCTCTCTCATCTTGTTTTCATTCCAACACAATGTGAAAACAAGGCAGCTTTCTTCCTCCACTCTCCACAACCTGGCATTTATCTTATTTATAACTTAAACGCTGCTGCATACGGTGGATAAGAAGCAGCAAACAGCACAAAAAAAAGGTAAAGGTAAATTCATCAATTTTCATTACTCAGTTCAATGGAGAACTCCAGGTTTGAATAGCATGTTTATTAATAACACACCATACATTTGGTTTTAATATCTGACTCAAATCTTGCACTGTGGATCACCATCTGGCCCAAGCAAATCAGCCATACACTGACAAACATTTAAAGTCTTGAAGGCTGCAGAGTAGCTGACAGTTTTGCATTAAGCTACTCACATAAAAATGGAGGAAAAGAACACAAGGAGTACCTCCTGAGCTCCTAGTGATCCCCATTACTCATTTTTATTTTCAGTGATTGCTTTCATATAAATTAGCCAGTGATTAATTTATAACTACCACAGACAATGAATGTATTTGTACAAGTGGCTTCAGCCACCCTTGCCTTGTGCTGACTCAAGTGTTACTCAGCCAATATTCCAGAAAATATGTTTTTCTCTAACAATGTTTTTTCACATAAATGTGTAAAGTTCTAAAACAAACTGGAGTTTTTACAGCAAGCACTTAACTGTGCACAACCGGGAGCAGAAGATAAATATCTCCTTTTACTTTTCCCCTAAGGTTTTCCTATACTGTGCAAATCAAAACAAGCAAAACAGCTTACCTGATCTGAAATGTCAAGCCTAGCCTTGTGATGAAGAAGAAAATCCACCACTGACACATGACCTCCCGCAACAGCAAAATGGAACGCAGTGCGGTTCAGCTGAAATAAGCAAAGCTTTGTTTGTCAGGTCTGTAATACAGTTCATTTCCCTGCGCAGGTGATCAGGATTTCAGAATTCTCCGATTGTTACCAAATGTATCTGTTATTATATACTATTTCATAGTTCCCCTTCAGCAGCCACACTAGGTCTTTATCTACAATTTTGCTCCATTCTGGATAGAATTTAGGTATTGATCTCAACAGATTTTTTTTTAAAAACAGAACGATTTAGTTAATCTACATAGCATTGCTCCTTCCATGAAATGTCAAAGAGGGATGAAGCATCAAACTATCTAGAGAAGATGAATGCAGTACAAGAAGCATCCTTGTTTACTATTTTATTATATGGATTGATTTGAAAAGCTGAGAACTAGATTTACACAATTAGATTTGCTTTTTGTATCCTCCTTTTCACCAAATCTCTGCAAAGCATGGCAAGGGTTCTCCCTCATTCAGTGCAAGTGACCTTCCCAGACTGGGTCATTATCTACATAAGTGAAAGTTACTACCTTGCCAGCAGTGAGTAATTTTACACAGGTGAATAGGTTCAGTGTTTATCAGGAAGACTTGATTAATTGTTCTGTAAAATAATTAATGGTCTGAATTTAAAAGGGATTTGTTAAATTGAATTAAATTTCAGTGGAGACAGTTTGCTTTCAGTTAAAATCAGCATAACTGGGTTTAATATAATTCACTGATAGTTTCCATACAAGGATTTCCATACATCTCTCTGTAAAGAGATTTAACCAATTAAATTTAAAAGTAGGTTTTGATTTGTTCTCTTATTCTTCTCTGCAGATCATCTGACTTACTCATGTGTGAGTTTAAATTTTCAGCTATATGCATTAAAAATATAAAAACGTGAGATTTATAACATGTATTTAAGACAGAAAAAACTTCTTGCACAGAAACAGTACTATAAAACCTCACCTTTGACAGCCTTGCTTATTTGGCTTGGGAGTACCGTGGAAGGAATGATCAACATGAACAAAAAGAATGGCTTTGCCAGTATAAGCTACATCCCAGTTAGGAGAATCAATCACAGCACAACCTCCACATAGATATGCTACTAATTCTCTCATAATACGAGTGTGATTTAAGGATGACAGAGTAAAGTTTCAAACTACTTCACTGGAAATGTATTTAGTTTAATTTCCTAAATTCTGGCAACAAATAAGGAAGGAAGAACTATTTTAAGTGACTTTTTGGAGTACTATGCAATTGATGCAAACACTCTCACTGTTCAAGAGAAGTTTACACAAAAGAAATTTTTTTCTCCCTCTCTTTTTCACAAACAAACCAGAGAATTCACATGTACTATTCAACAATCTCCAGTGGGGGAAAATGAACACAGTCATGGAAAAAGTTTTTTCGGAACCTATGGTTAACTTTGGATGTTCATGGGTAGGTGATTTATATGTAGCCACTAAGGGCATGCTGTTATCCACAACTGCCAGTTTAATATCATGACCACTCTGCTGCTGTTGAACTACCTCTCATGTTGAACACAGCACTATATTTTGTTACTGTGAAGTATACATCCTCAGATTTTAGGCCTAGAGTTCAAGGTAGCATAATAAAAGCATTTTCATCTCTCTGGGCAAAATCTGAACTCTGATCTCAGCCTGGAGCCAGAGGATGTGACAGAATGCTCCCATGGTTCCATACAAACCAAAGGGTAATACTTCACCCTTGAAATTTTTTAGTGGCAAAAATTAATTCTTAAAGTGACTGTGAGGTAAAGTCCTCTCACTCTAAAAAATGGAGAACTCTAGAAATTAGTCACCAAAGAACACTGAGGAAATATTATAGTAGGGACACAACTGAGAAGTCCTTAGTTCCCAATGTGATAACCTGACTAGTGGCTAATGCAAAAACCTGTGAGTTATGCTGCACAAATCCTAGTGTTCATGATGGATGTGTGAAATGTTTCTTAATCAGGTCCTAGGGGGGGACTCCCACAGTTCCATCACCTTGCAGTTGATGGGGCACACCAGCATGATGGCATTCCACCAAGGAACCCAAGGAGTCACATTTCATAGCAGTGATCTGTCAGGCACTTCATACTCACAGTATCTACAGCATTTAAATTAACATTCTTTTTAAACAGCTTTTCCATGGTTTCCAAATTGTTCATTTTAGCAGCATACTGAAATTCTCTCTCATCTGGCAATACTGTGGAAAAACATGATGAAAAAATTGTATTGTTAAAGAAATAGCCACAAGCAATATAAAGGATAATGATACTGTTCTTACTTTCTATTATTTGTCCTGATTCAATGTTATAAGAATAATTTGCTTCTCATCATAGGAGTGTTTCTGGACCTTTTCCACTAGGCTAGTTTCAAATTTTAAGTGCAAGTAGAGGTAGACGTTTCAGGACATGGATTACCTTTGTTTGCACTGCTCATGGGAACAGTTTTTATACGAAGCTCTTGCCATCTAAATGGGTCCCATTTTATAGGCATACCAGTGAATAGTACAGATTGCAGCATTTATTTTTTGTTCTTTTGAGAAATGGCTCCAAAATACAAAAAAAATGTGAAGCAGTAACCAAATGGTATGGTATAGCTGGAAAAACAAAACAACTGAATCCAACCAAACCAACCGGCTTTTACAGGGGGCAAAAAGAAACAAACAAAAAAGTGTCTACTTGAACTCAAAATCTGGCCACAGTGTGACATTTACTTTTAAACTGAGACCTTTCCTAATATCTCAATTCAAAAATGAACATCTGTTTGGTCAGTTAAAGTAGCTGCAACAACACATTCAGTAACTTTGAAAAGTAATATGCCAGTATCTTGTAACTGGTTTAGCTGGGGGTCAGAATATTTTTCATGTTTCTACCTTAACATTTGATTAATAACTATGAAGAAAATAGTATAAGCGTTAAATTGCTTGCAAAAATGTTAGTAGATATCTTTAATTCCCTAGCTTATCAGACTTGTAATATAAGTACTTAGATATCTTCTGTCTAGAATATTTTGGCCTGAAAGCCACTTGTCCAGTGATACTACCAAAAAGGACAGCACTCTGTTGAACCAGGAACTGCAGCAATTAACTATTCCTTAGAGGCCTCTCAGGCAAGTTCATCTTACTGCATTATGTCCAAGCTCATTAATGCCTAATAAGAACACAGCTTGAGGCAGATGACTGTAGAGCATACTAAGGAAAATCAGTATAGCATTCACTTAATTGCATTTCACATGTTACCCGTGGCTATAATCTCAGGGGGAATAATCACAGTTGTACTGTAACAGAATGAGTTAGAAATTAACTTAGAAAATAAAATGTGGAGAAAAGTAAATTGCTTTGTTGGCCTCAAAACAGAAAGCAAGGTACCTTCAATTCTTTTTTCATATTTATGTCTTATTTTAGAGGCCTCATTCTGTCTTTCAGTAATATCCCAAATATGGATGATCTCCAATGAAGTGAAAAAGTGCAGCAGAGATTTCAGTACTTATAGACAAAGAAAATCCCTACATGTGTGTGTTCCCCCACCTCCACTGTCTGTTTCTAATTTCCTGTTATGGTGTCCACAGGATGAAATCCAAAATTATCTCAAAAAGCACATGGAAAAAACTTACAAGAACTCAAGCTGGCTGAAGATTGCAAAGAGGTAAAATGAAAAAATAACAACATTTAGATTCAAATGGCAATAAAATTATTTTTACTGTATTGTTTCTAAAAATTAAGTCATATATTTAATCATTTGACAACCTTTTCAATGTTTACTATGTTTTCTTGTTACTAGAGATAAAAATTTCTAGGGTAATTCATGAGAATCTTTTTCTAAAATAATAATTTTCTGATTCAAAGAGGTCATAGGAAAGCCCACCAATTGAGTCCAACAATGATATTTTATCTATTTCTTTCCTTTCCTCCCCTTTTTGCCAGCCTGGAAGCAGGAACCACAGCTCGGGAGAAGGGTTCCTGGCTATCACGCTTCGACCGCAGGACCGGGACGAGCCAGGGTTTCACAACTACCGCTCAGCTTCCACAAATCACGTCTTTTCGCTAACTGCAGCCTACGCCAGAGCAGTCTGGTGTGCAGGAGGAAAGCTGGAGAGCCCATCACTGAGACTTGTGCTGCTGAGTGCAAGGTCCTCTGATTTCCGCGTGTTCCCAAAATGGGAGCCCACCCAGATCGGCTGTGGGACGCATGGCAGGGGCTCAGCCCCAGAGGCGTGACTGATGCCAGCGAACCCACCCAGAGCAGTTCAGGGGTGAAGCAGGGCACTGGGCAGTTTGCAGGACTTCTCCTTTGGAAGGCAATACGCCAAAATCAGCTTCCGACCCCACATCCACACATTTGCTGATGTCTTTCACTACATATAAAGCAGCTCATGTTTAACCTCGTCCTTTCCAACCACCCACCGCTCATTTTGTTCTCCGGTCAAAGCAAAAAGCGGGTTCGGGAGAGTCCCACCGCCCCGGCAGCCCTGACGGGGCTGTGCCCGCCGCACAGGGGCCCCCCGGGCTGCCTCGCCTCCAAGCCCCCGGACTCACAGCCCTCATGGCTGGCTGCCATGGCTCCCCGCACGGCATCCCCCTCGGCGCGGAGCAGGTGGCTCAGACCCTTCATCGCTGTCCCTGGGCCCTCTTCCTCCTCACGCAAGGGAAGCGGCCCCAGGTCGGTGTGCGGAGGGAGGTGCCCTGTGCTGGCCCCGACAAACCGGTTCTGGGGCTGGAGGCCTCACACACCCCTGCGGGCACGCCTGCAGCAGCACCCACCGCCTGGACACACCGGCCCCAGGGCAGAGGTTGGGAGCAGCTTCGGGAGCCTGCTCTAAGAGCAAACCACATACGAAGCTTATCACACACGAAGAGATTTCACAATTCTTTTCTCCTTTAAACAGTTTTAATACAGATAGGCTGAAATATATAAAAATCTTTACATTTGATACACCTCGGCCTGATAAGACAATTACATCAACTGTACTTAAAGTAGGTGAACATTACTCAGCCAAAAAAACCCTGAAACCCTGTGAAAATACACCCAACTGAGAGGAACGAGCAACTGATTTTGCCATAGCTGAATTATGGAGGTTTCACTGCTTCTTACTTCCTATCAACTGTTCCAGCAAAATTCCTTAAGAGGAAGTTTTACTTCACCAGTATGATGACTGGCCTAGTAATACAGACCACTGCTTTCAACATTATTGCTCCTTCTCAAAATGAGTGACCAGAGACAACTATGGAGTGATCAGGTTTGCCTACAAAGCTGGCACCAAAGGAGGAATAGAGCTGCAGCCTTATGCAGAGCATGAGTTACAGTAAAATCATAATTTTACCATCAGGAAACACCAGCTGCTAGCTTCCTTTCTAATTACTAACATACAGTACTATTTCAGAGTATACCCTATGAGTACAACTATATGGGCTCAAATTTTGCAAACAGCAACTTTACCACGTTTTCTAACTACTTCCCACAATAGTGACTCTTTCAAACGGCTCCAACAAACTGCAGAAAGACTGATGCAGAAACCTACAGAGATGCAAAACCCAAAACAAAGTGCAGAGCAAAGAAGTAATGTAACATGTTCCTCACTTGCCTTCACAGCATCTTTGACAGGAACTTAGAGAACTTTCTGTAACATTTAGTATTAAAGTAACATTAGTAATAAATACATAAATGAACCAATATAAAGATAAAATGTAAGGTAAGACCCAAGCATGTCGAATAGTGCATAAAGGAGAAAAAGCAAAAATTATCTCCTGTAAAAGAAGGTGAGATTTGAAGTCTAAGTAGTATTTTCTATTAAACTGTGTACTAATCTTACTAAACTGTGTTCTTCTACTTAAAGTATGAAACTACAGGATTCTGAGTCCTCCAGTGCATGAATTCTTAGTCTGTTCAACTGCAGCTCCTTACAGTTACCCTCATCCCTTATGGTTTCAGCTGCCTGTTGTCACCCACCTCTGCTTACGAGTAGCAATTAGAACAGTGAAATGGAGAGGCCCATCCTCAACAGGTGCTCGTGTATACGAATGGAATCAGAATGGCATGGCACAGATCCCCACACCACCAGCCCAATGACAAACCTGGGCCACTGCAGCAGCTCTCTAGGCTGACTTATTAATAACTCCAGCCCTTAGTTCAGATCTGCAAACTACAATGTGGGAGAGGGAGAGAGACTGGCCTGTGATAAACCATCCCCAAAATAATTCCAAGGAGGATCAACCTAAAGGGAGAACATGTCAAGCCCAAACTCTGTCCTGCTCATGTTTCTGAATGTTATCAACACTTCAAAATGATAGTTCTTTGACACTTCATTTTTAAACAGATGGTAAGACAACTTCTGAGACTTAGTCAAACTAACTTAGTTTTTGCTATGTAATGCTTACATAAAAATACACAATTTAAAGATACACACACAATGACAAGGTAATACTTGGATTCTACACTTTATTGAATCAGAGAGGTACAAACTAATAAAGGGAGGTGTTCACTTTCTAAAGAGCAGTGGCAGGCTAATGTTTCCTCAGTTGCTTTTATGTCTTTCCTATCAAAAGTTTCCAGCTCCCATCTCTGTCAACAGAACAGCTCACGCTGAATGCTCATTGACCTGGTTCAGAAAAAGTCAACTGAATCAATTTGCACAGTCTGAAGCAGTCCAGCTGATTTGGTCTAAGGAAGATAATGGAGCACTGACATGAAGTCAAATGACAGAGCTGTGGGTACAGTGGCATCTGGCAAACAAACAGATGAGCAGGTTGAGATGGTGTCATCATTCCAGCAATTTTGGAAACAAAACACATTCTGGACTTAGCCTGGGCATCTAAGACATACCATGTACATACTGGACTAAAAAACAAGCAAATCCCCAAGTACTTCCAATACAGTTAAACAACGAAATAGATGTTTCTAAAGTAGCCACTTCTTTACATGAGTTTGCAATTAAAAAGCAATTTATATTTCATACAGGGTTTAGCATTGTTTGTATAACTTCTAAGAAATTTGCTGTCATAATAAATTGTCAGATAAATATTTAATTATAATAAAATTCCTTTAAGCATTTTGTTGTGAACAGAAAAGGCTAAACAGTGTATTTTAAATATTTGCACTTAATTCCTTCCTTCAACATATGCACTGATAGAATACAATTTATTCATAAATACAAAATAATTTTAAAGAGAAAGATAGGTAAACAGTAAGAAGGTTCATCATCTTGCATATTTGCACATAATTCATTGTTATTGCACCATAAGACCTTTTATTCAACGTAAATTAAGTGCTACTGACTGGTAACAATTTCCAACTGTGAAGAATTCTCAGTCTCTTTGGAAAGATCAAGGATCAAGATCAGCACTTGTCTGACTACCATGGAGGAATCCTTCTCTCAATTAACAGTTTTAATAACATTTTCTAAATCAGTGAAGTCATCCCATATCTCACCACAATGAGATGGACAGGGTTGGTCCACCATTTCCTACTGAAGTAATTTTCAGTAACAACGAAAGCTTGATAGTGCTGTAAATTCTTGTTCTTGTCCTTTGAATCCCAATAAATTCTTGTGTTCACTCAGAAAATATTTGTAAGCTGAAGTCAAGCAACTCAGCTTTTCCTTGTTATCACACAGACAATTTAATAATTAAATTTGGCATTGAATTGTCCAAGGAAGTGTCAGCCTGAGCTACTATGATTACCACAGCGAGGATGGCAGGTCAGGTGTGGTCCTGAGAGAGGAGGGCAGGTCAGGTGTCCTGAGAGAGCCTTCAGTAAGTACAGTGGAGCACCCTAGCTAATGATTCCTACTCTCCAGGGAGCTTGCCGTACAAGCTTGCTCAGTGGCAGCTCTACCCAACCTGTTCTGTTTTCTGAACAGCAGAGAGAATTCATGAGGCTGCTCATGGCTCTCAGAAAGTTCCACATGTTCAGTACAAACAAAAGTGTAGTGCTAGAGAATTTGATTCTTGGAAACAACTGGGGGAGAAAAAAGTACCATCTAAAAAAAAAATTATTTATATTTGCACTTCTTCTACCTCAGACATCATGTTCATTCTATACACACATACAATGGCTCCAAAGTGACATGCACCTGAATCCAGCCTACCAACAATGCTAAATTAATTTGCAGTCATAAAACCCTATGAAATACTTCATATAGAATATGTTGCTACACAGTCATTTAAAAAACATTTCGATTGTATGCTTGGAATTGCTCAACTTGGCCTTTTTTGATACTGATTGTGAAGTTGTTAATCCAGACCTGAAGTTAAAGACAAAAACAAAAAACAAAACAGTCAGAGGTTAAAATATATAATGCATATCTACACAATGTTTACAACACTGAATATTTTTATAAACTTTATTGTTTTAAAATGAGTCATGTACTCAAGCTTCCATAAAACCCTTACCTTTTTGTTCCTTGCAATGGATTAGTGCATTGCTGTTCTTTGCTTAAACCTCCTTAAAAAAAATTGGAAACAACAAAAATTAATTACTTCAAGAAATAAAAAATGCTTCAGAAATTACATACATGGCAGAATGTTTTTTACAACATAAGCAAACCTAATCTGTCTCAAGGAGCACATATCATTTCATTAGCTGCAGTCTGAGTGTTGTAGTTTATGATAACATTTTCAAAAGAGAAAACCAAAATGCCTTTAGTTTATTGAATTCTAAGGGATTATTTTGAACGTTTTAGTTCAGGAGTTTTCAGAAATATTTCAGCATAATATAGTGGATTTTCAGTGGTAGTTGGAAATTATGTTCTTAATTTTTTTATTATGCAGAGGGAAAAAAAGAATCTGCACCTACAATAAATCTTTAATTTAAATCAAAGTCTGCTTGCACATGCAACAGTAACACTGTTTACAAAATTTTCTGTGTTCATATTTTAAGTCTTAATTTCATACTGAAAATTCTAACACGCTAGCATTTTAATCTCCTCTTATAAAGCTCCCAGTATAGATTAGGGATAAGTACTTTAGGCAGATACTTAACTACTTGCACATGTCTTCTAATCTGACCAAAGATTAACTCTTCATCAAAGAAAGAAACGACCTGAGTAAATATCTACTGGTTTGGCATGTTAAAAGTGCAGTTGTGTGATATATTTTATATTTATATACAACAGGCTTGGAAGTTTCTGCCTTTAAACTCTTAGCTCACCATCTCTCTGCTTTTGCCAGCACATTACGTAATAGAACTTTTCTGTCACCTGAATCTCTGAAACAATCCAGGTTGAAGATGTTTTCATTGATTTTCATTTTAACCTTGGTGGCCTTGCAAACACCTTTCTGAACATGGCTGGGGGTAACAAACAAACCATTTACAGAATTGAGCAGCAGTTCCTATGTCACCGTTATGGCAAATGAGAGGACACTGTCTAACTACCATCACAGTCATAAATCTAGTTTCTCATGAGAACTGATTTGGTATTTTTTAAAAATGTTCACTCTTACACAGGCCTTACTAAAATGAGCTTGTAGCAAAAATAAAGTCCCAAAAAGTTCAAAGTGCACCATTACCAAACTATTTTACAAGCAGATAAATTGAATAATAAATATATTCTAGTGCATATACTCACCAACTCTATTCCAGTTTTCCATATTGTAATTCTCAGTAGGAAAATCTTTTTTTTCTGTCAGCTCC